ACTTCGACACTCGCTACCGATGCTGTCGTAATCATCGGACGATTCCCCAAACAGGTCGGCCATGGATACGGGAAGCTGAGTACTAGGAGGTGAAACCATCGAGCTGGGAGTGTCGACCACTATCGGTGAGAAGGCGGAGCCGTCTTGGACTGTATCGCCACACGTCGTCGGTAAGGGACGGAGAGGAAGGTAATGCAGCCATCAACGAATCGTCGGTCTGGTCTGACGAGCTAAAAGATCGATCATCTTCGTCAGAATTACCGGCTGTGGATCCACGAGGAGCAGGCGAGAGGGATCCATCAGGGACGTGAGACTTGGAATCAGATTGGTCGGAAAGGGGAGTGGGCGGTGAACTCGGGGACGTAGTATAATCGCGCGACCGCTTCGAGATTGTCTTATCTGGGGTAGTTGCCTGGTGCGGACGTTTGTTCCGTTTAGGAAACGTCTCAGTAGTGGGTAACGAGGAGGAAGCCGAACATCCGGCACCAGAAATCAAATCGGTCAAGCGAGCAACGAAAGAGTCTCGAGCGCGGAGAGCTTGATCGCTTTAGATTCTTTGTCGGCTAACGTCCGCGCTAGCTGATTGCGCTCGTTTTCTCGATCGACCAACTTCTGCGCCAACTGATCACGCTCGATCTGAGCCAGTTTGCATGCGCTGCGCGATTTCTGTAATTTCTGTTTTATTTGAAGAGGCGAGCCTTCAATTCTTTCTCAAAAGCGGTAGCTTGGTGTGGTGAAGAGCTGTTTTTGTGATGTGGGGATCCCAGAATTCAGAGAGACAGGGGCCTCGAAGGGGAGCGACCGTTGGTGGAGAACAATCCGCAGGACCTACAGAAGAAAAATCAGTATCAGGGTACCGGTTAACTGGTACCGAAGGGAGTTGACCAGGGCCCTTCATTGATCGACCTGGCCCCTCGTTGGTAGACCCGGGTCCCTCATAGGTCGACCTGGGTCCCTCATTGGTCGACCTGGTCCCTCATTGGTCGACCTGGTCCCTCATTGGTCGACCCGGTCCCTCGTTGGTAGACCTGGGTCCCTTGTTGATCGACCTGGGTCCCTCATTGGTCGACCTGGTCCCTCATTGGTCGACCTGGTCCCTCATTGGTCGACCCGGTCCCTCGTTGGTAGACCTGGGTCCCTCGGCGATCGACCTCGGCCCTTCGGGGTTCAGCCACTCCGGACCAGTTGATACAAGAATCAGACCAGTCGACGCAAGGAATCAGATCTTCAGGCAAGGATAGAGTAAAGGAGTTAAAAGGATAGGAATATATTAAATACTACTCAATTTGCGATCTACGTGGCACGACTCCGTCACCCAAGAAGAACTTTCTCTAAGCTACTACCTGTTCGGGGAAGGGATATATTTTGGCCCCCCGTTGAAGACAGATGCGTGATTAAGTTCAAGCGCGAATAGAGCTCCAGAATATATTTGGCCTGTGAGCTCGTTCTAGTAGCAACCCCCCCCCCCCAAGACCCGCTATCGGAAGCGGTCTCCCTTACCTCACGGTCCGGGAGCAAAGTAAAGGTCAGGTGGTTAATACCCCTGAAACAAGAAGGAAAAGGCCAGGGACGACAAGCTCCCTGAAGAATTTGGCTCTAAGTCCACTCTCGACAAGGTCGATCGAGTGGCCACCTACCGGCCTACCGAGTGAAGCATATCCACTCGAGGCCCCCCAGGTCTACCTCCCTCAAGGCATACGTCTACATCACCAAGTCCTCCGAAGAGTGCAACCCGCCAGCCGACGGGTACACAAGGTGAGAGAAGGTTCATACGCGGTATCGGGGTACCCCCTCCGACAGTCGGCAGTCCGTCACAGTGAGTGGTTTGGGGTCTCATCATACAATATTAAGAACTCACACCCCGACGACTCAAGAGCATTTGCCACCAGTACCTACAAGTGATATCGCTCTATTGTTTGGCCAGGTATTATAAGACCTCTCAAAACAAAGAACTCCCCTGCGATTAGACGCAGCATAACAAGAAAAGGACAAGTTACAAGATCGCGAGACGGATCAAGTGGTCCGAAGGTCAAGTATATTAGGCGGATCAAGTATCTACATTTTTGGGCAAGGTGATCTCAAGAGAGATCAGGGTGACTCGGATAGAGCACCTACAAGAACACCTCTACCGCGTGAAGATTTACGCACGGTCGACCCCCAACCAATCCTAACCACGGTCAAGTTCAGCATCGACTCAAGTCCACTGAGAAGAGTGTTACCCGCCCTACCGACGGGTACACAAGATGGGGAAGGAAAGTTGCACGGAACGGAGTACCCCCTCCGATAGTCGGTTGTCTGGGCGCCAGTGGAGAGTCGGGATCACATCAGAAATTTTGTGAACCCCGCTTCACCACACGAGCTTAGATAATTTTAAAGCCCACACGTAAGGATACGCTTCTAAATAGACGCGTACCCAATCTTTACATTTGAACAATCAGTAGTTAGATTTATATTTTGTTAGATTCTATTAAACATAAGTCAGTCTTGAATTTACTACTCACCATCTACTGCACACGAAAAGCTGAATAAGCTTCTGCGTGTAGCAAGTGAAGCACTTCTTTTTTTAGAAGATCGTTGCGCGGATCGCTTTAAGCGACCGGCAACGGTTGGTACTGCGCTTCAAGCGCCGACCAACACCACCACTACCGCGCGCGGAGATAAAACGGTTTAAATACTTCTTTACGCTGCTCGAAGGTGTGTGCTCGCGTAGTACGTGACAGCTTCTCTCGAAGCGCCCGTCTACATGGGGAGCCTGCTGGAATTATCTAGACGCACAAGACCAGACATTACACTTGCCATGCCTCGGTCTAGCCGGCGAGAGCATCACCGCGAGACAAAGACTGGCGATGGGCGAAACGATTTTTTGTTACTTGAAGGGGAATGTCTCTGCGAAGCTTGAACTAAGAGGAATACCTGGACACGAAGGACAGGAAACTCTTCTTAAAGCCCCAGCAACGCGGATAACGCAGCGGATCACGCAGATCGCAAATCTGTAAGTGAGGTGTGATATGCTTAAATGGTATGGTTGTCGATCGAACGTGTCGTTAACAGGCAAGCGTGGCTTTATCCCTGATGGAGGCCGAGTTTATGGCATCATCATGGTGACGAGCGACCTGCTATGAACGAATGAACTGCTTGGTGAAATTGGCGTGCACGTGACAGAGCCAATGCTGATTCACGTCGGTAATTAAGCTGCAATCAAAGCAAATACTAGATAAAGACATCACAGGACGAGAGAAGCACATCGCTGTAAGACTCAAGTTCATCAAAGATTTCAACAAAAAGGAAGTGATCAAGGTGGTGTATTGCGAGTCGCGTGTGGTGCGAGCTGACATTCTCACCAAGACAATCGACCCGCCACGATGATGGAGATACGACAACTAATCTCGCTGGTATAAAGACATCTCGGAGAGGAGGTAGAAGGACGTAGTTGCTGTCAAAAAATTGCGATCCTCGAAGAAGGCGGAGCGACTCTAGGGTATTGATTAGGTAGTGTTCGATGGTAACGGACACAAGAGATAGCTAAGATCGTGAGTTTTAAAAAATCTAGTTTCTCATTTACCTTCTAATTACCAAGATTGGCTACTTCACATGTCGTGTGTAGACAGGCACTTCTACGAAGTTGCCTCGTACTATTTAGCGCACACCTTCAGCACAAGCGAGGAAGCGGTTAGACCGTCTTACCTTCGCGTGCGAGGGTGGATATACGGTTGGTCGACTGCTTAAGCAGCAGTCGTACCACCAGCTGCCTCTCGCTTTAGCGAGAGTGCAACGAATCTCTTAACAAGAAGGCACCGACGTCACGCAGAAGCTTTTTCAGCTTCTCGTGCGTGTTAGCAAATTCAAGACTGAGCTATATTCAATAGAACTTAACTAAATATAAATCTAACTAATGATTGGTTAAGATGTAATGATGGGTGCTATCTCTATAGATACGCATCCCAACGTGCGAGCTTAAATATATTTAAGCTCGCTTAATGACGTAACTGACTGACGTCATTTGATGACGCCTAGTCCCAGCTGGGCGTCATCCCCATCAATGTGAATACACCTAGTGTATATCACATACGCAAGGGTGTGACACATGGTGTGTCTCACCCGAGCGACAGGTCTTAAGTACTTACGTACCCTCTTAGACCTGCCCGTTAGGTATCGCATACTTAACGGGTACGTGTAACATTGAGCCCGTTACACCTATATATGTATTAATAGCATAAAACCATGTCCGTCGGAACGACGGGTCAAAACCCTAGTATATATATAAAGACTGGATACGCGACTCTTTAGAAGCGTATCCTGACGCATGAGCTTACATTTCTATTTAAGCTCGATAAAGACGTCCTTCTGAGACGTCGCGATGCCTAGCTTCAACTAGCACCATCCCTTTTCATGTGAATCCATCAATGGATATCACATTCACGAAAGTGGCTCACATTTGTGTATCGCACCCAAGTGACAGGTCAAAAGTAATCATAGATACTTTTAGACCTTAACCTTAAGTATATTACTTAATCTTTGCGTGTAGTTAGATGCCCTATTACATCGTGCGTGGCAGCTTGTATAAGTGCCTGCCTACACTAATTCTATTTTGTATGTCGATTTTACAAAAAAAAATCTTGAGCGAATGAAGATTTGTATCAAACTACACTTTACTATTTAAAACACAAAACGCAGAGGATAAAATGATTGGGCTTCAAGCTGTTTTTCGTATTCTTCTTCATCACCAGCAGCAACTTCTCGTCGGTCGTCATTCTTTAGTGATTCGTAATTTCTCTAGTTCTTTTAATGATGAAACACCTCAAAGGTTAGAAAAAGGTTATAAATTAGCTAAAGGATTGTGGCGTCGTTCTACGTCGCGTCTTAACGAACTTCAGGAATATGAGACCAAGGACGTTTTCATCGACTCTCTTGGTATTTTTGCTCGAGTTTTGCTCTTTCTGCAGCTGCAAGTACCAGAAAAAACTCATATTAATCTCCTGGACTTTATGAGTGGAGCCAGCATGGCCTCGGAAGTGACTCTTCGCGCCATGAAGAGTAGAGCCTTCCCGGAATTCCTGGCTGGAAAAAAGAAAAGCTCATCCGAAGAGGCTAATAAGTTGAAGGAGTATATGATTCCTGGATACTACAACGAAACGGCTTTGCAAGTCAAGAAAAACTACTTGCATCGTAACTTTTACGTCGAGTGCGAAGACATGCAAATTGAGAAAACGCAACTTGCTCATGTCACGTACCATCGTTTGACAATGCAAGAGTACGAAGACTGGGTGAAGTTTAAGAAGCCTCTGACTGGAGCAATATCGTCGAAAGCTTCGGTCGAATATTTACGACTCTATGTGGACGTTGCAACGGTGGAAAACTTGAAGATAGTGCATCTTGTGGAAAACACATGCTACATGCAGCACCAAAATGTGTGCCGAGTAGTGTTTGGATCAAGGGTTACTGACCCCGACACAGTTGACTGGCGTATTGAAAGTATGCGTTTGATCAAGCAGAAGACAATTTCACGCTCTCAGGTGAACGATGAGAAAGACGAGTAAACCAGTATCCTTCAATGCATTATGAACGATCAATAAAGTCAATGCAAAGTGCAACATGATTGAACGACATGTTATTCTTGAACGCCAAACGTATGGTGATTCCAGTGCAACCACTTTTTGCAATCTTGCCGTGATTGTCACATTGATTTGTTTCTGCGCCTTGACGAGCAGCGTCTAACAAAGCGAGAACACTGTGAGATGTCTCGGAGCTCTATTTCACCAAGCCAGTCACGAGTTCGTCATTGACGCTACTTGATCAAAGACCACGGTATCGCCGCCACAGAGTGTTTACATCACCAGCATGAACATTTTATCATCCGCAGGATATACTTCGGTTCCCATTTCCATTGCTCCTGCAATTTGCTTTGGGCGCTTTTGTGCTAGACACGTTGAAGCCAGAACAGAAGCCTTGCATGGCAAACAAAAGACATCTTGACGTCGAAACCCGAAAATGTGCACAATTGACCATGTCGATTGCTTTGCAGTCGACATGGTCAATCGACCAGTCTAACGATATTCACAATAACAGCGAGTTGCACTCTATCACAAGTCTTTGATGATGGACTTGGTAACTTCATCAATACGGAATCCTGCCTTGGTGAACGCTGCCGACTCGTAAAACTCACTGAGATCGTATATACCGACAGACTTGGCCTTCGAAAGCAGGTCGTCACGCAGGACCGTGAGTGTCGTCTCCTTGTGGCTGCGGTGGCCTGACTGCGCATCAGTTTGCAAACGTAGTTGCTGATACGCATGCGCCGATTTGAACAATTCATGGAGCACGTGCAGCAGCAGCACGTTGTTGTCCTGGCGGTAGGTCAGGTACGGTCGAAACAAACGTCGCCACTGACGCTTGAAGGTAAACTTCTGTGCATCGCACAAGCTCTCGGTCAGCACTCGAATAGCCAGCGCCAGGTCCTCGTCGCCAACGGAATCGCGTAGATGCATTCGGGCATGCGCCTCAGCCATGCGGAAAAGCGACTCCAAGTGCCGAACAGCTACAGGCACAGCACCCGTATGCTGCGAAGCTCTTCGAAGCTGTGCGTAAAACGCCTCTACTTTTCCTGTGTCGAGCCCACTAGCAAGAACAGGATTTACGAATGTACGTGCATACAGAATGTACTTCCGTAATAGTTCCTGGTCTAACGTCATGCTTGCATCATCGTCTCCAACCTGCATGGACTGAGTCATCGCGCTCAATTCATCTTCTTCATTAGCACTTTTCTTCTTGGCATTACTGCGCATGTGGCTGGAAACGACAAAGTCCGCAAGCCGCTCGTCGTCAACAGGATCGACCTTGTCTTGTAAAATGCAAAGCAGGTCAAAACGCTGCAAGATGGGATCGGTGAGCTCAACGTTTTCTGCAAATGTTCGAGCGGCGTTGTATCGACCGCCAATCGGGTTTGCAGCCGCAATAACAGAGCATCGGGCCTGTAGCGACGTAACAATACCAGCCTTCGACACAGAAATACTTTGCTGCTCCATGGCCTCGTGTATACTAGTACGATCCTGTTCGTTCATCTTGTCGAACTCATCAATCAAGCATACGCCCTTGTCTGCCAACACCAGTGCACCACCTTGCAAGACCCACTCCTTAGTAAAAGGGTCACGCGACACACCAGCCGTAAGCCCCACGGCAGATGCGCCTTTTCCCGTGGAGTACACGGCGCGAGGTGCAGTCTGCTTTGCAAACTTGAGAAATTGGGACTTAGCCGTACCAGGATCTCCTACCATCAGCACGTTCAGGTCACCACGAACACGTGAGTTCTTAATGAATTTGGGTTTTCCACCAAACAGCGCCAAAGCCAAAGCGGTCTTTACTTGCTGGTGACCGTAGATGGATGGTGCAAAACTATTGATAATCCGCTGTGCAATATCCGGTTGCTTCGCAAGACGCAAAATCTGTTTCTTGTCTTCAGCTGTGAGCAGTTGGCTGCCTAGCACATCTGCGCGCCGCTCAACATGATTAGCTTCAATTACTGTACGAAACACGGGGAATCCGTCCCGTAAGTTCAGCGTAGGGTCAGGCGTGTTGGTGTAAATACCAGTAACAGCGATCTCATCACCAGGTCGAGCCTTGTCAATAAGGTCACCAACTAAGATCACGTCCTTAGAACGAGGTACACGACCAGGTGGCACGCTGCCTGGTGACTCCTGTAGTGTTATTTTTTGAAAGTTGCGGTACACTGTTTGCTCACTGTTCACGGGAAAGTGGCCTCGATACTGACACTCTGGACAAGCACTAAGCTTCACTTCCTGTTGACTCTGTTGCGTGAATGGGCCTAGCACCGCACCACACCCGGGACAATTAACCTTGACAAGTTGAAGCTGCGGGAACACAGACGTACGTCTTGTCACAACGCCTGACACCTTAATGAGGAAGTTTAAGTGTGCCGTACGCAGATCTCGCAGTCGTTCAGTACCAGGGAGATCCAGAATACGCACGTAAATTTGCTGATGGATTGTGGAGTAGTACGGAAACAGTGCCAGCACGACTTCCTGAGCAACTTCGTCGAGAATCACCAACATGTCTTTCGGGGCTTCCACCAACCATGCCGCCACCATCGACATGCTGTGAATCACATCACCAATTTCAATCTCCAGTGACTGCTCATTGCGCTGTGCAAGTTGCACGATCTTCTCGTGATACACCAACCTACCTTTACCATCCGCAAAAGTATTGAGAAAGTTGCGGAAGCGTCTCTTGATCTCACTCCGGGGTCGTTCCGTAGCGATCCACTCTCTCAGCGGTACATCAAAGTGTTCTAGATTAATAAGCTCTTCGTCAACATCCGCAGTGCCTCCTATGTCGTCATATCCGTCATCTCCTTCACGGACACGTCTAAATCGTCGTCTGTGAGCATCATCATGCTCCATTTCCTGATCTTCTTCAAACACATGCGCAACACGTCCTTCACGTGCATCTCGTCGGTTTAATTCAGCCTCCACTTCTCGTCTAGTATCAAAGTCCATATCCTCGTACTGCCTCCCATCTAACATGGCCGTATCATACCGATCCAACGTCTCCATCCGTCGGTAGTCCCTATCGCAAACACATATCAAAATACACATACAAATATCTTCAGTATCTTGTTCTTGAAAGGGCCTTATCCCTTTAAAAATACCAGCATTCTAAAGCATTACATCTCTGCATTCTCGCCCAGATCTTCGCCGTCCTCGTCGTCATTCAATTCGTCTTCACTAAAGTATTGTCTTTCTCGCTCTTGGATGTCCAGCTCATCCACAATCTCCTCGTCCTGCTCCTCCGCTTGCTCTCCATAGTCGTCGTCTCCTTCCGCCTCTTTACGCTCCATGTCACCAACCACGAAATTATCGGCAACGTCACCTTCATTTGTATTGACTAATTGACTAGAAACAGGTGACATAGATGCATCAGCAGCAGCAGAAGATGGCGCGTCACCGCGTCGTAGACGACGACGTTTGCGGCCACGACTGTCATCATTTTCGCTGTCGTTCTCGCTACCCTCGAGGCCGTTGGAAACCAAAACAGTACCATTGGATGCTTCAGACGAGTTTGGTATTGTTCCAGCTAGAGCGACACTCGGATGTCCATTATTGGCAGAGCTAGAAGGAGGTGTAGCGGGAGGAGACGCGTCACTAGTATCCATTGTGGTTTGTTTATAAGGTAGACATTTCCCGCCAAATTTAAACCAAATTGATTGGCTATAAATGAATACATGATCCGATTAGGATGAACAATCCCTTATAAGGGCACCATTATTTTACATTGTTTAGCATTGCAATATATTGCAATATAATAGTAGAAGCTGACAATGCCGATATGAAGCTCATAAATGCATTCACTTCGTGACCACAAGTCGATAATTCCACAATACGACCATCGCAATAATACATGCAATATTACATACCGATCGACAACTTTGTAGGCGACAAAGCGATCAGCGTGTAGTGGTGACGTAAATGTCGTAGCGGAGAACTTAAGAAGGCGTTCGAGTTGCAAGTTGTCAATAACTTGTACGCTTTCGACGACTGCGTCAAGCTTTTACTGCACTTTATGCCGAGTATTTCTAGCTTTGTATCGTCATCTGGTTCCTCTTCTTTGCCAATGCCAATTCCAAAGTGCTGCCGCATGTATTTGCTAGTTTTTAGACATATTGCTGCATCCGTTAAGGTTGTCGGTATCAAGGTAAAGCTCAACCAGCTTCAATACATATCGGATGTACTCGTGGCTGCCAGCAAACTTGGCCGCATAGAGGAGATCACGACGCGTCCACGCTACGAGGCTACCGAAATATTTACACACAAATTGATACTATCGAGAACGATTATACAAAAATGTAGTGGAAATGTTTGTATTAATTCGAATAGTAGCCAGTCGATAGAAAGTATTACTTCAACGTGACCGGTAACATGTCTGAGGCTACGGCATACGCATCCAGGACGGCAACTTGTTGGCTCCATGAGAAGTAGGAGACGCTTGCGACACTTGATCAGGAGATCCAATGGAAGCTGGGACAATTGGCTGGATGACAGCTTGGAATGAAGTCGTCGATTTTGGGAGTTGGCGAGGTGTTGTGACTGGTAGAGGGGTCGTTACAGGCAAGCCAGCTGTCTGGGTCGAGTCTTTGAGGCAGCATAAAGTGCTATTGTTGCCAAATATAAAGATGGCGATACACTGCAGTATGGCCATCGCGATGAGGGCGATGCCTTCGATGATCAAGACGACGTTGTCGTTGCAGTCACACTGCTGGTTGCGGGTATTGCCCAGTATCGCAGTCATCATGCCACTGATGGTGAAGATGCAAGCACGGCCGAGACGGTACCTCATGAATCCGAAAAAGAAGAAGAAGAGCTCCCACGTCGTCTCGCCAAGTATTAGAAGCAAGCCAAAGCTGACGCCCAAGAAGCAAAGACAACCGAATTCCGTCTGGCTGTCTACGGCATCGTTGGATAACTTCAACGTACTGAAGCCCATGCAGGCCACGATGAACAGCATTAGACCCGTGATAGTACTGACAAAGCACAGGAGTCCTTTCAGAGAGATGAACATGGTAGAGCTTGAGTGTCTTGAAAAATGAATTGTCCGGGAAATAGTCAATGAGTTGAGATTACAGCTCAGCTCAAGTTATCAATCGGCCACGTGGATTTTGTAGAAATACGAACTCATGTTGAGCGTTCTGAGCATCCTGAGCGTTCTGAGCATTCTATATCCGTCAAGAAGGCCGGCCACTAAGTCTTTATTTATAAACTTGCAGCTTAAAATTTCCGGCCTGTAAATAGAAGGAAGTAACGGTGTTCAAAGACGTCCGAGAAAATTATGATGCCCAGCATTCACATGTGTGACTGCATGAACTTGCATTATCTCGCCATCTTGGCAAGTCAATTGTCCTGAATAATGGTAAGGAATGACTGCTCTCGGACCTCTGCGCTGTTCAAAACGTCCAGCCGACTTCGATCAAATTGTCTACTTCGATAAATGTCCACTGATCAGATTCAAGTTCCCAAGTGGGAGGTTGTAAGATGTAAACTTACCCCGTGCAAAAACCTCCACGGTCTCCTGCTCTTGACGCACTTATCCGTTTGATCAGGTTCACCGTCATCAGCTTCAAGACCATCAGCAGTTAGCAGAGTCAAAAATGCTTCTCTCACCAGATTGAAAATTAATTCATGATCACAAGACGGAGATGATCGCAAGCACAAGTTGCAGGCGACATCAGGATAGTGACGGACGCTGAGTTGTCTAGTCAGCCATTAGTCTGAGCATCTTGTACAGGAGTCTTCTCTTTTGGAAGCGCTGTCCTGATAACATCACAGATCCATTTTCAAAACACTCCAACATGATACGAAATCTCATCGCCGAAAAATGATAACTTACCAACGTAAATCAATCAGCAACTGCTTGTTTTCCATCGAGCTGCGGCTCACGGGGACAACCAGCAATCGTTCATATTAGTGCGCTTTCTTCATTAACATACTTGGTATTCAGGTCGCGATATGTTTTTTGCAGCAATTGAGCAAAGAGAGTTCATAGGAGTCAAGTCTCAAACTCTCTGTTATTGTTCGGAAGTCATCGTACATCAAATGCAGCCAGCACTACTTAGCTTATTGGCTTTTGGTTTCAACACCACCTCTCTCCTCGCTTTCTTCGTCATCGCTGTCTTCGTCCTCCTCCTCATAGTCACACTCCTCTTGTTCGTCCTCTTCCAGCTCCTGGCCCGGTTCCAATGCCCTTGGCAGCTCTTTCAATACTTCTTCGATTTCCGTCACAACTTCGTCCATCAATGGCTCGGTATCGTTCGGAAAAACTGCTCGCATTTCTCCACGGTGATCCACCAGGAACTTGTCAAAATTCCACGTCGGAGCCACCGATGTGCTGTACTTGTCTGCAATCTTTTTGAAAAAGGGATGGGCCTCCTCTCCCGTCACCGACGTCTTGTGTGCAATACTGAACGTGACTTTAAATTCCGCGTATCGTTTCAAAATGGCGTCGGAATTTCCCGGTTCTTGACCTGCAAAGTCATTGGACGGCACAGCAACTACTACGAGCCCTCGTTCACTGTACTTTTCGTGCAACGTTTGCAATTGTTTTAATTGACTCGCGTGGCTGCATTTAGACGCAGTGTTGGTCACCAACGCAGCTTTAAACCGGAAATCTGCAGGTGTCAATTGACCGTCTGCTGGTTGAATGGTAGCAAACCGTAGCACATCTGAGAAACCTCGGGGTTTGGGCAATGATGAGAACAATCTAGACGAAGGCCATTGCCAGACGCGAGGTGCAAGCAAAGAGGAGCTCTGGCCGCGAAGCAGAGATGTAGCCATGATGACACAACAATGGAGTGATGATACAGGATTTCTATTTTAATTGGCATAGAATTATAAATATAAATTGTTATTGGGTCTTAGGTACGGTTTTAGAAACGTTACTTCAGTCACATGTGGCAGCTTAATAGCACTACGAAGAGCTTAAAATGCTGGCCAACCTCTTGTGCCTCGATGCTACAGCATAAACCAAATTTGAATCACAATGGCTATGAAATGGCAAAATGACCCCCTGCCAAACTGTCGATTACTCTAGTTTTGACTTTATGAGGTCACATGTGAATCAGCACATGCAAGCGGTGGCTTATAACAGTCAGGAATGTACTTGAGCTGGAACGAGTTGAATGCAAACTTGGTTTTGCCAGTGTTCGCCAGGACATTAATGCGACGAACACCGCGTTCTCTCATGGCATTGCAAAGATGCACACCTTGCTTCACGTGAAAATGATCCACCAGCAAACGAGACGTCTCCAGTGTCACTGACATCGCTGTGCGGTCTTTGCCACTCTTGCAGCACGTTGTGCGTCCGGCTCCAAGACGGCGGCAAATATCACTGGACGTGATCAGGATGTTAACACACTTCTTTTGCACATTCTCTGTGCGAACATTGAGGCGACCTGTGAGTGCTTCGATTTCTGACTGAAGCTCAGCCAGCTCGGCTAGATCTGCTTCACGCTTCTTGATATCGCCCCCACTAGTCGTCACCTGTGTCCGATATGCGCGAAAGTACCGCTGTAGCATCTGCACACTCTCGAAATTAAGCTCGTCCTGCAAGCTAGAGTTTAGATAGTGATTGGCCACTGACTGCATCTCGTTAATTCCTTGAGTAAACATCACTGCATGAAGTTTAATGGCATGGCCTTCCTGCAACACTTCAGGAAGCTTTGAAAACACTTTAGGAGGCACAGCAAACGCAGCCACAACATGATCTCCAGTCGGTGTACTTGTCACGCTAACACATTTTGACATTTCGACGTGAAGGTTCGCTTCAGCAGACTGGACAAGCTGGAAACTTACCACACTATTAAGCCACTGAACACCATCGGACATATCTTCAAGCATCCCCTTTTCGGCGCCCACAGTGCTGAGCAAGGACTCAATGCTAAGCAAGAATCCCGTCGAGCAGGATAACTGCAAACGTTGTCGGTGCTGTCCACCACGAGTGGCTGCCAGGCTCACAGCGTTAAGGAATGATGCACCGGCAATTGCTAGCACCTGCGAGCGCACGACATCTTCTCTCATTTCAATACGCTCGCGTAGACGAGGGTCTGGTGGACTCTGTGATGCCAATTGCTGCTGAAGACGACGCAAACCACCTTCCTTAAAGCCCATAACGTGAGCTGCAGCACAGCCGTGAGTTACCACAGAGTAGACATAATCAGATGTAGGCGACGTCTCGCTGTCACTATCATCAGACGCGGAAGCGTCGTCTATCAATGTGGATGAAATGCTACTTTTCCGTCCTCCACAAGTACGATCAACGTCGCCGGCAAGATGCACACGCCTTCCGCGCACAAGGTGACAATTGAGATTGGTAGCCATGAACGCTGTCGCTTCGTCTTTCTTCATGTTGCTCCGCTTTAAACATCCCGTAATCCCCTGTTCGCGACCATCCTGGAGCGATGCCGATATGGTCTCACATCGCTTCAAGTTGTCTTGGTAGGAGGCGTAAAGACGCATGTAATGAGCCATTTCGAGTTTCACGTCTCGAATTCGACCCTCGACCTCTTGCACATGCGTGTTAGATAAATTTACACTTGTAGCCACCCGAATATGCTGCCTCATATCATGGGCCACCTGCTTTGCTTCATCGATACGGGCGATGTTTCGCCGCTGAAGATACTTTAGAAATGCAACTGTCATTGACACCGAGACATATGACGCCGATAATTCCTCTGATACGAGCACATGACTAGCTGTCGACATGTCCTGACCACGAAGCATCTCGCTGTAGCTCAAAGCACCCCTCATGCTCAGAGTAGAGCTAGACATGAGATCACCCGGCTTGCGCTTCTCCATTGCTTCTGCATCCACGAGGAAATGATGCTTCGCATATGTATACGCGTGACTCACATTAATGCTGCGACCAGGTGGGGTAAATCGGTCCACAGCAAGATAGAAAAGCTGCTTGGACGCATCCGTACGGTGACACTCAAGTAGCATCGAAGGTTCCCGCGAAAAGAGAACGTCCAGCGCTGAGACTCGCACAAAACCAAGCGATTTTTGTTGCTCCAACGACTCTGATGAAGCGTTTACCACCGAAAAAATCTCAAATTGCAGCATAGAACGAGCTGCGCGCGGTACTGAGAGCAAGGCGTTGAAATCGCGAGCGTAATAGTCGCCACCGCAAGATCGGAAAGAGAGCGAGCTCCGCACCTCCGTACGCGATATCTCTTTCGGGCGTTGGCCCTGGCGGATACTAAACAAAACAACCAACATCTGTGGAGCATCCTGCACCGCCTTGCTGCCAACAGACACAGCTAGCCCCACACTAGGGGATGGCTTAAATCCTGGTAAACTTAGGTTTGGTGTACGTGAGGAGTTTGACGAAGCGGCTGCCATCAGTAGATCAGTTGTCGAATGAGAGGGTGAATGCAACATCGACAGCCCGTTGTCGTCATACGCACGAGGGGTAACGGAAAACGACGATGACTGAGTGAGGATGGATCCGGCGCTAGACGAGCGATACAGGCGACGCTTAGTCTTTGCTGTATCTATGGGGACCGAAACAGTGCTGGTCAGACGAGAGACCCGATGTGGACGCGTTTGATGTTTTTGTTTTTCCTCATTCTCTCGAACGCATCTAGAGTTCTTAGCAGCTTGCTGGATGACAGTCGTGTCCGTAGAAAAACGTTTCATGGCATTCATGCTGGTCGTGGTGTGTGGGTTTTCCATCCGGGAAAAACTAGCGCGGTTTACGTTAAGATCATCCAGCACGGACGAGCTTTCGGAAGTTCGCACTTGCAGTTGAGCACGAAATGGACCTCCTTCTGATCGGTGATCAAAGGACTCGTTCATCGAGACACATGACGTCAACCGTACTCGCTGTGTAATGCACCCATTAATACACGAGATCCAAGCTTTCATGGACTCCTCGCCTTGCTCTGCAAACAGCGTCAATTTACGTCGCTCATTTTCAATAGTGAACCGAAATGGAAAGCCGTCCTTTGGTGTCGGCTTTACGTTCGTGTTCTCGTCAATTGCAATCTCTCCAAGCTTGGCAAGTTCTTCAGCCGATGTGTAGTAGCACAACACAGGACGATCTCTTCTCAAGATAAAAAATCGACGTCTCCATGATTTCCAAAACGATCCTTGCTTGACCAAATAGCCACTGGTAATAATATCAGCATCTGAAAATTGCTCCACGTCATTACCACTCATATGCACTGTTTTATTCTGGTAAGAACGTTTACGAAGTCTCGCCATGGCTTTACTACCATCATGTGCATGATAAAATTGGTCTTCAAATCGTCCACTCTCTGATACTTTCAGCTTTGGTTTCATCCGCTGCGTCAAGTCTGAGAGCCGTGATGGATTCGTCAGATAAAGTTTCGCCATGCCATCATTCTCTGGTACAGCAGGTACAATCGGTGCTGCAGCCTTTGCTTCTATCAACGTCATTTGGTTCTGATGGTCCATTTTTACCACCAAGTCACTCACTTTGTTCCCTTTTGAGTCTAATTCAACAATAAAATAAAAATACATATTGAAAGTAAAAGAAAAAAAGTACGGTTTCAACACATGGGTACATTTAATTATACGTCGCAGCTGATGCAAGCGTCTGGTAAAACAGTGACGTCGTCTCATGACGCGGCGTCGTATATGGACTTGGTACATCGTTATAATGACGCTATAGGATTGATGAAGATCAATCGATTGCATGAGGCAGAGATATTGCTACGTGATGTCCTTAATCGACAGTCTCATGCAGGATTTGATGAGCTGGCAATAGCGTTGACGCAGAACGAACTTGGTCGTGTCTTACGACACTTGGGAGCGTTGGACGAAGCGCTTGAGCTTTTGACAAAGGCGCTCGAAGTGCGGGATCGTGCGGATGAAGCGGCAGGTTCTTGTATTGCTCTAACGGATGGAAACCTTACGCGTAATGAGATTGCCAAAGTATACGAGGCCATGGGCGACTGTACCAAGGCATTGGAAATACGGGAGCCGGGTAAACGCATTTGCAGCAATGAAGCCTGTGAAGCGTTTGATTATCTGGATGGGGAGTTGCTTGCTTGTAGTCGCTGCAAGTGTGTGTTTTACTGTGGCAAGACATGCCAACGGCACGATTGGAAAACTCGTCACAAGTTGTTGTGTCAGGAAATAAAGATGGAAAAGATGCTGTTATGGGAGTGGGATCAACAAGTGTAGAGTATGCTGTGTACTTTGTTATGGAGAGAGAAGAGTGTGAAGTCAGAGGCAGGTTTTGACGGTGTGGTAATAAGTGCTCGATCACTGGAATGCTGCATCCTTAAACGTGTGCTTCGATTAGCAAAATATAATGCGCTTTTGTTGGTTACATTTGATCATTACTGCTTGACCTCCTCTTGTTTGTCGCTAACTTTCTCAGCCTGTTCCTCATTTTTGTCTTCCTCCATCTCCTCGCTCTTCTCTTCCTTTAGTTCCTTGCCATCGTCTAGCTCCACAAGCTCGTCCTCGCCAGCCTCTGCCTCGTTGAGAGGAGCGTTGTCGCCCTTTTGCTCAAGAGCAGCGAGTTCCTCTGCACGCATGGGCGGGGCAATGAACCACGGCAGCTTACCGCGTTGGTAATCATTGATCATATGCACAGCGACATTGTTGTAATCGGGTTCACCTTTCTGCAGCAACTTGCCACACTTGTTTGCAAGTTTCTCCAAAAAGTCCCACTCGTCATTCCACTCCTCAATGCCGTATACCTTTACGATAAACTCCTTCTTGACACGCTGCAGGATGGTCAGAATAAAGTCCGTTGGTTGAGGTAAGCGCTCAGCGCGAACGACACCCTTGAGCACCGTCTCGATTTCATCGTCGCCCGTGTCGTACACGATACCCGGACAATCAATAAGAAAAATACGACGCATGAGAGTAATGTACTGCCACACCTTAGTTTCACCCGGGATCGGAGCTACTTTGCACACCTTCTTTTTACGCAGTGCATTAATGACAGAACTCTTTCCCACGTTAGGGTAGCCTATCAGCCCGACCGAAATCTGCTTCTTATCCTGGTGCAGCTTTGCAAACTGACGCAGCAGATTAATCAGCGCGCCTTTGCCAAACGGGTTGCTCATTGACGCGTGAAAAGCCAGCGTAGGCGTTGTCTCGCTTAGTTTTTGCACCCAGCGCTTGGTAACCCAGTTGGGCACCAAGTCGCATTTGTTGATGACAAAGATCAAGTGCTTATGCGACGCATTCTTTCGAATATGTTTCTCCACGTGCTCGCAGCGTGTGCCAGGCACATTGCGTGCGTCTAGCACCTGGATCACAACATCTGAGCAGTCCAGCACCTTGTAAAGCTCACCCCAGATTCTCTTGGACTGACCTTTGTTAAACACGTCGTGGGATACTTCCTCCTTGAAATCCTGCTCCACCACAATATTGCGATCGGACCCTTTTGCTTCGTACTTTTCTGCATTCTCATTTGCTCGAGAGAGCAGAGACGCGTAATCCGTGGCGGCAAATTTGGCGCGCTTGCGACTGCGTTTACCGTTAAACACCTCGTCGTAGCTCTCAGTCTCCAGTAGTTTCATGCGTGATGTCTTTTCACTTTCCTGTAGTAGGCCCATTGGTAGCTTACGCGTACGTAGCACGACTGAATACGGGTCAGCAGCTTTGAGGGACATTTCATTGCGAAACTTGTCCAGCTCCTTCTGCCCCACCACACGCGTATTACCAAACCATCGACGGTCTGGTTGTACCCGTCCACTTGCACTAGTAATCTCCTGTCCACCCACTTTATTCTTCATCATAAGGCTACCACCTACGACTTTGCCAGCCTTGTTGCGGATGGGGCCACTGTTACGATACATGTTGAGACGCTTGATTGTGCTCTTATCACGCATATTGGCCGCCTTTTGCCGCTTTGGAAGTTTACGATTCGGATTATCGGCAGAAGCCTTCGTCGTATTAATACCCTTCGTCCCCATGGCTGTTGCTATCTACTGCAAGAAAGTGCCAGTAGCAATTCCACCAGCTCCGTTTGTACCTGACTGCTAGAAATGATTGGTTTCAAAGCGAAATCTTTTCTACCAATCCTATTGTAACAAGTCGACTGGTACAGTGTGCCATCCATTTATGACACCGCCGCGTCATAATTTACGAGAATAACCGTCACGTATATTTAACCAATAACAGCCAAGAGACGCCAATTTTCTTCTCTCACAATGACGACGATGGCGTTAGTGGCGCAGCAGCAGCAAGATCGTGCCAATATGGCTTCATATCTGTTTGAAAAGCACTTGAATCATCAAGATGGTGTAGCTGGTACACTGAACATTCGTTTAATAAGTGCTCGTAAGCTACGTGCTGCCGTCTCTTCGATGTTTTGGGTACATACATGCAATCCCTACGTGATCTTTCGTGTCGGTAAACAAAGCGTACGAAGTTCCACAATTCCAACCAATAACAATCCAACATGGCGTCGTGAGTTCCTCGAGGTGAAATTGCCCAAGCTGGATTTGAAGCGGCACCCATTGGGTGAACACTCGGACGTGCGATTGGAGCTCATTCTGGACGTCATGAATGAAGACTCACTTACGGGAAAAGCTACGGAGGCAGTGGGTATGATCAATGGCTCAGTCATTGGGACAGCGGTCGTGGACTTTACGTCTTTGGTTGAAGGCAAGGAAGATGTCATGGACCAGTGGATCCCTCTCAGTGGAACACTGCCTCTTGCTGGGTCTGGAGCCTCAAGTGGTAAGAAGAAGCAGCATCCGGAAGCGGAGTTGAACTTAGGTGAAGTGCGTATCGTGCTGCAGTACGAACCGCACGGCATGGAACCACGTCTGAGTGATGTGATCAAGTTTGAAGGCTTTGGTTCGTACCCGTCGTCGGTCCTCGGTCCCATCGAAGATCTGGAGCTTCATGTAAAGAAAACAAGTGGCAGCTATTTATTGTGTAGCTACACGACTCCATCGGGCTATGAAGCTGCACTACGCGTGCACCGCAACAACGTGTTTGTGGTGCATCGTGGCAGTGTCTTCGACCGTTTCTACGAGTCGTGTGTGGTCGAGCCACTGGAGTTTATGATCAGTACACCAATTGGCCAGTCTGCCAAGGAAGTTCTGCGGCCGTATATGAATGTGGCTCGAGCGTTTAGCGGCCCGGCATTGGTTGCAACGAAGGCAACTCTTATGACGACATACCGTGCGTCTAGTGCTGCTATTGGAGCTGTGCTGGAGTCTTTGGACAAGTAAGATTCGACTGCGTAGTAAACGGATTTATAATGTGTAGGTAAGAGCTATAAAAAACTAGCTCAATGACAAGTAATGATAACTGATCAGCAGCAAGAGTTAATGGACTTAATTAAAAGACGAGCACTACGAAGACATTAAAAAAGTCCACACTTTTGCCTCGCTGCAGTAAACTCCATTCAGTCATGACACCACAACACAAAAGACACTGGTAACGCAAAGAATTTGCTTCACATTAGCCCAAGTCTCTACGTCAAACGCTCTTCTTTCTCATGCACGACACAATCTAAGATCGTACTTTTTTGCTCGAGTCATGGTCAGTCTGGTCTGCTATCTGTCTAGTAGAAGAAACCAACGATCTTGCCACCCGTGTGTTTACGACGAGCCTCATGATGATCCATGATACCGTACGTCGTACTCACGACAATGTGGCCAAACTGACGCGAAGGCAGTAGATTGTTAATCCATTTCTCATAGTCCGCCAGCTTTACGTCAAAGCGAGGAGAAATGACACCACACTTGTTGATACGGCCCTTGAGTTCCACTACGATCTTGCCAGCACGGTGGTCGTCTACGATTTCAAACTCACCAATGTAGCCATTCTTTTGCATAACTTGCAAGAACTTGACAATCACCTTGGAACTGGGACGAATAAGTACTTGACGTTTTCCACGCTTCTCGGCATTGTACATTGTCTTAAGACAGTCGGCGAGCACACTCATACGAACCATAGCTGAAGAAAAAGAAGTACAAAATAAAACACGTATTAATGCCTACTGTTAAGAGCCAAGGTCACTTACTTGCCGTGTCAGCAGACTCTTTACTCCATAGCCTTACAAGAAAAGGCGAGCGACAAAGCTACTGACGACAGACAGACAAGTAGTGCCTCCAAAGTCGCGCGACAACTCGCCTACGTCTGAGGAGGGAGAGTAGTCGCGCAGCTTGTGTGAGTGATCATGAATTCATCATCCAGACGTACTTGTTAGTAGGGGCAATAGAAGACTTTGAAAAGACGGGAGAGAGATTTGCGAATGAATCAATGGAGCTGCTCAGTTCATTAAGTACATCAACCCATTCAGATTTTGACTGGTGGAGAATGGAAGCAGGAACAGGTCGTAGGAAGGTCGTGCGATGAATAGGGATAGGGCCTTTGATATCTTTCATTGTGCTCTGAACTCTAAGAATAAAAAACCTCCTTCTTTGACCGAAATCGACAGACCTAATTAATTACTTGCGTCATTAATATCTTGCACTTGTGGTTGAGCGACATTGGCATCCGTTGGTCCAGAGTCAATAATGCGTAAACTACGAAGAAATTCTGGATACGAAACATATGTACGTGTCTCTTCTATCTCTTCACCTGCGTTTGAAATCCGTCGAGCGGTCTTACGACAAGCAAATGCATCGGCCAATTGCTCGAGCTGAAGGAGTTTCAATGGCGCCCCGTGCTCTTCGTTAATGGCTTGCATTGTAGCAATAAACTGCTCCTTGGTCACATACCCATGTCTTTTACGGTCCAGTATCCGGAACAAGAACTTGATGTACAATCGTTGCTCATGCAGTGATTGTTTCACGCTATCAACAAAAGTGTCGGCCCATGGCTGATTCTTTGAAAATTGCCCCTCCTGGACAGTATCATCGTCTCCGTTCGTCGACTCGTGAACGTCTAGAGCAGCCAAATTTGAGTTTGAGGCACTCACACTTGCCAGCCACAGACGCCGTTGAAACGTGCTGTCAGGTGAGAACGTGTCCTCGAACACAATCCAGTTCAATCCTCGCTTATCCCATTGGCGTCGCTCGTTGATGCCGTAATAGCTCAGTAGAATCGAGTTAAATAGTAGCTGCGCTTCTTCGGTATCAAGCTTTGGCACCATGCCTAGCTCCTGTGTTCCCTTTAGGATATCGTCCACAGACAATTTACCCATTTTGCTGTGATCAAATGCGTCGAACGCATCTCGCAGCGATGCACACGTGTTCGAATGCTGCAAAAGTGTAGCACAGCGATTCAAAAGTGATATAGCCTTTGTGTCGTCGACCTCGAAGATTTCTTGCAAATAATCGGTGCGACTAAACTCGGCAAAGAACGAGCAAAACTCTTGATAGTCGACCACACCATCGTGGTTCTGATCAAGGTGTTGCATGAGCTCAAAGATCTGTTGCTCGGAAAGTGTGTCGCCCAGCTGCAACTTGCCTTGGATAGTATTCCGGAACGCCTCGTACGTGACCAGACCATTGTGCACGTAATTTTCATTTGACTTATCACCATGAGAGGAGGTACTACAAGATGGTTCAGTTTCATCGGCGTTTGACGCAGGTTTTGACGCATGTTGCGTCTTGGCCGCCCCACACGAAGAGGAGTGGAAAAGATTGAATGCAAAATGTAGTTTGTCCTGCAGCGTTATCTTCTCAGCGTCCGTCTCGGACGGACGGGGAAGCGCTTGGCAGAACCCCACCCAGACCTTCCGGATCAAATTACGCCTCCATTCCACATTGCCACCATCCAGCTCAACAGTGTAGCGATTGAGAAATCTCTGATAGTCAACACAACCATGCTGGTTTTCCTCCGCCAATTGACGGAAATACGAGAGGAAGCTCGCTTGAATACCCAATACGTTCTGTAAAGTTGCTTTCCACTCCAATTTCGTCACGTATCCGGACCCAGTAGTGTCCAGCTCGATGAAAGCAGTCAGCAGCGCATTCTTCTTTTCACAAATTATCTCAACAAGAGACATCAAAGTTCTTCGCTCCAATCGCTGTGCTTTTTTTCGCCACTCGTTCCTCCCTGCATCCTTGAGTTTTTGAAGCGGCTGCGAAGTGAACTGGACCACGTGTGGCTTAACATTGTTGTCCTCTCCCAATTCTAGCTGAACGTAGGCACCCTTATTAGTCTGGGAGCCGCAGTAGCTTGATGCTGAAAAAACAGTCAGAAGTAGTCCGTCGTGAAGAATGTCAAAACCTTCTTCTCGACATTCGTGCGACCGAATGATGAGGCTAATTTCATTCTGCGCACAAAACGCTTTCGTAATGTCAGGACCAAATTCCACACCAGCCCCACGGCTTGACGATTTCCACCCGTCTTCGTCGCGTGGATCACTCCACAATAAATGCGTAAAGATCTCGTCTGCACGGCTTGTACCTTGAGTCGGAATCTCACGTCTGTGGTCAAGCTGGAGCAACTCCTCAATCGTGACGTTTTCATGATTGCTTAAGCCACCATGCACAATAAAGACTCGCTTATTCAGCAACGCAAAGATCGGGAATAAGCCAAACACTGTCTCGAACATTTGGAAGAGCTTCAATGGTGAGTAGTTCAGCGAAGTACCCAGACCACTCCACCCAACGACCTCATCGTTGTCTGTACCATACTTCGTATATATTTCATCTTCAAATCCAAAAACCTCGTTAATCATTCGTTCTTCGTGGTTACCACGGTTCAAGAAAACGAAATTGGGGTACAATAGCTTGAATATTAGCAGGAGCAAGATCACTTCGATTCCGTGTGATCCGCGATCCACAAAGTCACCGTTAAAGAGATACCATATGTTGCTGCTAGGCACACCATTCTTGTCCATAATCGTAAGCAAATCCTCTAATTGTCCATGCAAATCGCCAACTACGACCAACTGCACACCCATTGGTATCTCAATCTCATTCATGGGTGTCACATGCATGGTTCGAAAGAGTTTTTCCGATTCATCCAGAATTTGCCGGACATAAACGCGGTGTAGCAAAATGCCATTGCGAAACTGATTAATAAGCCTCTTTACCGTGTCCAACCGCAACGGAAACGCAACATGGACACCTCGGTAATGCGAAAGCGACTTTGTCACACGATCTTTTTCAGAGATATCGTCGTCAGGAAACTGCATCACGTCTAATGATCCAAGCATTGGCACCATTGATTGCAACTCATTGATACTTGTCGACTTGTTGAGTATTCGTACCATCTGTACTGTACGTTGTTCTTGAACGGTTTCCAGTAAATTCCATGTGTTAAAATTAAGCTGCGTTCGAAAGACAGTGTACGATAAATGCTGGCGAATGGCGTTCTTAATGCGATTGGCCGATAGCACGACGTCAGAGTAGAGCTCCACATGCTCCAGTGGAAACCGCCGCAACTGGTTGTCCTTCTTGACAAGCTCCACATTCACAAACGCTCTTCCGTCCTCGGAGTCATCTGCAGCATCAACCTGCACGACTCTGCCAACTAAAATACCGTATACCAACACATGCGTGCCTAGTTTTAACGCCGATCGCTGAATCTTGACAGGTGAGCAGTCTCGACAAATTCGAACTTCATCATAATATCCTTGTATCGGCAATCGTGGGACAAAGACTGAACACTCGTCACACATACACGTGCCACACTTGCTATAGCATTCATAAGAACCAACAGTCAACACGTCAATATCACAATGTCTACCTCAGCCACTACTAAATAGTCTATTTCAACGTACCGACAATGATGTGGACGAATGAAAAAGCTAAATTCTTTCTTGCAAACCATACACCACTTGGAATTTTGTACCCAAATTGGACGCAATGCCAATCGAAATGCCCGTTCCCATTTCAAGTACACGGCATCCTTCCCAGCTCGTAATTTCCAGCACATGAGTTGTCCAGTAGGTGAATAGCCTGTCAATTGCATCTCTAATTTCTTTCGATTAAATACAAGGCCACGCTTCAAAAGATCAGCATCGTATTCGTCTTCACTCTTGGCCAAATCTTTAGAGTTTACAGATGCATTCAGCATCATAACACCACGTAAATGCTTGGAGGTGAGTGTAAGATGAACACGTCTTGGTCCATCAGGTCCTCCTCCTCCTCCTCCCCTCCTCCAGGTGCAGCTGCAGGCATTGGAAGCTCGTAATAACAGAAACGACCGTTTCGAAAGAGTAAAAAGTAGCGGAAATGCGCGTAATCACCGAGTTTAATTAGTGCGCCTTCCATGAGTTTATGATCTTCATAGTAATTATTAACAGGTTCGTCTTCACCCGAGACCCAGTGACTTAACCACGCACGAGACGTAAAACCTTCTGAATCCATGGATTAATTGGAGAATGAATGGGCTCTTATTCTGTCGTTTAGTTATTAATTTATACAAGTAAAACGTACAGTCGAAACTAATGCTCTTAGGACCAATAGGCATCTATCGGTTACAGTAGGTTATTAGATAAACAAGTATATATATAGACTGTTTTATTGTATATACTCGTCGAATCTATTTAGCAGTTACGAAAAGTTATTAATTAAGACAGTACAACAATCGTAAATGTTGACACAAGGCACTAATGTTTTGTATCGTTGGCGTCCGTTTAAGTGCCAGAAGATCGATTAGTTTTATCGGTAATTTACTCGTTATTTACTCCCGTTGGGACTATTTTATTTTACATTTATTACAATAATAAGTTTCTTGTCATTATGGTTTGTAAGGTAATTTATTGGCCGCGACACCTATGGACGTCGACCTCTACGTCTATCCCGACTGTATTATGTCGACGTTTATCCAACAATTCCTATTGTGTTGTCTCCCTTGAGTCGAACCCTTCCATTGGGCTCGAGTTATTGCCTCTTAAGACGTTGAAATCCCGCTGTATCGTGTTATTTGATGCTCAAGTGGCATCTCTTGGAGGCTTTAAGACGCTTCATTTGCCACAAATTTTACAAGAAATGGGACAAGAATTTGGTAATCAATACAAGGACAAAGAAGAGGAAGCAGTTCATGGTATAAGAGGGACAATTGCGTGGCTAGTGGAGAGCATGGGATACTATTTATTCTATCTACCCTTTGCAATGCTCTTGATAGTCACAAGTGCCATCCAACGTCTAGTACAAGACACGACGACTCCATCCTGGCTTCCGATTGGTGGTGACAAGAGCCTGGCGGTAAGAGATGACATATGCTGAAACAGAGATGAAAGATGTGGTTGTTGATTAAAGTGATTTCTTTGTCTCCCTATGGGGTATTTGGTTTTTTTAGGAGATGTCGACATTCTTGGCAGTACTTTGTTATCAACTGCAAAATGCAGCAAGTCTACCGAAACGACTGCGGCACTTTTATCTCTTACACAAGCAGCAAGGGCTATCACACCAAGAACGTAGGCTTTCTTGTGCGCTAGAATGTGTACTGATCTCATCGGACTTACAACAAAACGGTGCATTTCTACAGGACTGGAACTACTGGAAGTGCTCAATTGGATATGCTTTATGCTTCTTGACATGGCTCTTGGACAACTAGCGCTGACGTACCTGGGCGGAATCATCGCTCCAATCTTCCACGTTACCAACATGTGAGATCATGAAGATGACAGCAAAGACATTATACTTGTTTTTACTCTCTAATATGCATGGCGAGGTGTTTTTACTTGTTGGACAGTTCTCCGATTGCAGGCGTGAATTTTTTGCGTGATAATGTGGAGTGGCTTATGGGAGCTCCCGCGGGCTTCAAGTTGAACAAGCCACTCGCTTCGATACTGGGCAACGGTATCCTCCTGTGGCTGAACCTCTGGAGCTTTGTCTTTGAAGAACTCGCACCTTTGGCAAGCGTCGGGAGTATAGGGTATCGGCTATTGCTTGTGTGTGGGCACATGGGCGTGACACTGCAGTTGATGCTAATGGCAGATTTGCTGAACCTTACTACGTGGCACTCGCATTGGATCTACCTCTATTTCGCCAAGCTCAACCGCCTGCAATTTGGGTTGTTTTCGTCACTGTCAAAACTCTTTTTGGGCAAGAAGATCAATGTGCTGCGCCACCGCGTGGACACGTGTGAATACGACATTGGGCAGCTTTTGCTGGGCACTCTATTGTTCACCATTTTGGTTTTCCTCGTGACTACCAACTTAGTGTTCTTTGTATTCTTTGTGGGTGTGCGTGGTAGCATCCTACTAGTGTCGTTACTGCTGTGGCTGCCAGTCGTGACACTAAGTTCTCTTCCAGTGGCTTCACTCTTGAATCGCCTGTGGAATCCGCGCCTCTTTATTGTCGGAATGCAGCTTCAAGTGAGCCAGGTTTCAGCAGTCGATTGCATTGTCATAGGAAGTGTTGGTGTAGGCCATCAGGCGCCACAGTTGGACACTCAGCACCGGCTGAAGCTGCGACAAGCACTCGAGTCGTGGAAATCCAGCGAACAATGTGACAGTCAGAGCACCACTATCGAGCTCGTGCCGGTTGCTTCCAGTCTTGTGGCGCAATTTACCAGGTTGTTGTTGTTCTTGACGGTGCGATTTCGTTTTGATCTAACATGTCCTGCTGATTTGAAGGTTTCGCGCGTATGCGCACAATGTGAGTACGCGTTACTCACTGACTGTTATCATGAAAGCTTGTCTGTTTGGAAGCGTCGAAATTGCGCGAGTCCCGTTAAGTATTTTGTTCGGTCTGCCATGAAACTGCAGCAATAGCAAGTATGCTGCTTGACGGCCCGGCGGTTCGAAAGTGACAGTGTCTAACAACAGTACGTAAGCATGGAATGTGGTTGTTATTTTTCGAGCAGAAAAATAAAGCTCGATCAGATCATGACGTCTTAACGATCTGCATATATTGATAGTGCCAATGCTCATTATGACGCACTGTTGGTCACGATACTTCTTGATTACGCCCACTGAAAGATACTTTTTTTGCTTACGACCAGATCGTAAGTCGTACGCTGTACCAAACGTGATACACAAAGCTGGTCAATGTCGTCGTGGTTGCTGAGTGTTGCACTGCTGCTATTAGCACAAGAATGCGTCTCTTGGACTGCGGCGGTGTACGATGTAAAGGAAGATTTCGTTGCCGGCTTGTCTCACGAAGACTACGTGCGTCTGCGCGACTGTCCGTGTCCAAGTAGCAGCAGCGACAAGCTCAATTCCTCGTCGTTGTGTCTCCCAGTGGACTTTGCTGGTAAGACGTCTCGGAAGGAGGTTTTTGCCTTCTCCGTGACAAAAGATGACCGCTGGAAACACTACGATTGGGATCAGGTACATGTGTTGCTATACTGACGCCTTTGTCACGTTAGGAGACAAAGTTTTGATTGTGTAATGGAATTTAATCTGCCAGCTCACAACCGTGGCTTGGAATGAGGACAAGCAACTACTTTGTCATGCACACAGTAAAGGTGTTAAAGTGGTGCAGAAGCATAATTTTGACAATGTGGATCAATTGTGCAATCGTACAGCAAGACAAGATTGGATTATGGTAGGTAAGACAAAGGATGCCAAGCTTTACATGCTGCTTTGTGTCGAACTGGTGAGTCCTAATCGGTAGCCGATGTTTACCAAATGTCTTGTACCGTGTTTGTTTGTTTATCCAGGCAGCGTACTCTAAGATTGTGGAGAATTACGCTGACGGGGTGAACATTGACACCGAGAAGCCCTTGCACGGGGCCAGCTCGCAATGTCTTGGGATGCTCGTGCATGAGCTTCGCCATGAGCTAATGCGGCACGCACTCACGAAGAATGCACAGGTTTGCTCGCACTTTGAAACATATTGTGAGCTCACTGTGTTGACGTCTTGTCGTATGTTTAATACTTGATGTGAAGATCACGTTTGACGTTCCTTGGGCCCCTCGTGGTGTCGATGGTCGCTATTACCCATGGCGCGAGCTCAGTATCGCCGCGGATTTTCTATTCGTCATGTCGTACGACATGCGTAGTCAAGTGTACGATGCGTGCATTGCTGGTGCCAATTCACCGTTGGCGCTCGTGAAGCAAGGACTGCAAGAGTTTCTGTTCGCGCACGACGTCGCGCCAGAGAAGCTGGTGCTCGGAGTACCGTGGTACGGCTATCGTTACCAGTGCTTGGAGCGGGAAGGTGAGGCAATTGACGACGCCTCGTCGTGCCAGATCCGACCAGTGCCCTTCTTCGGTGCCCCTTGCAGTGACGCGGCCGGTGGACAAATCGACTACGGTGATATCCGACGACTGGTGAAGAGCCACGGACTTGTCGAGCAATTCGACTCTTTGACACAGACTCCATTCGTGTCGTACTCGTTGGAGGGACGACGATCACAGATTTGGTTCGATAACCCGCATAGCTTGGAAGCCAAGTACGCACTTGTCCATGAGCTCGGACTGCGTGGCGTGGGTATGTGGAATGCCGATACATTGGATTACTCTGCAGCCAGTGACAGTCAACTCATGTGGGGCTCCTTGGCAAAAGCCTTTGCGTCTAATCTTTCTGTTGGAAAGTTGCACGGATAAATCATGGATCAAGGAAATATCTTGTCTCACTTGTTTTTCCTGAGAGAGAGCAGACAAGGGGCATATAAGTGAGACAAGATACTTTACTACGATTTCATTCAGACTTGTCCAGCATGATTTTTATATCGTTGCAAACTTTCCACGTTTCTATCGATGTACGCCACACAATTGTAGACCACGACTTGCAAGGAACGAAAAAAACCGCCACTTTTGGACTGAAACAAGACGAAAGTGTGCGGAAGCACGCACGAAAATGGATACATGTATTGTAACGGTCCGAACGTACGCACGCACGCAAGCAGAGTCTCTGGATTACGGCACTTGATTGACGCATTGCAAGGTAAGAAAACGCAGCACTTGTCATGAACCGGGATCGCCGTTACAAAAAAAAAGATATGCCTTGGATCTCGGTTTCAAATCATATATTACCATATGTTGTCACTATTCCAATCAAATTGCACTTTTTATCCAAGATCTCAAGTGTTTTTCTAACGTATCAAGCACGTGGTTGATACCTTTTGTGTCAAAATGAGGCAAATACAAGCATATATCAAGTTACAGTAGCTAGCGATGAGGAAGTTATAAAGAGTCGATTGATTGCCATATTTTCAATCGATACAAAAAAGTAAAAATAACTATCACATAAGACATTATGAACTTCGTTACGTAACAACATTCGGTAATTCAATTGCGATCCTGAAAGGACGTCAAGATGATGGGCAGCTGACGTTATAAGATCCTGGTTAGAAATAGAAATGGCGCGCCGTTTCGTTGCGAAAAGCTCCGTTTCTAAGCCAATGGCAAGCCCAAACGAAAGTCCATTTCCAGATTTACCTCGTACTACAAAAGTCGTCAAGTGATCACTCTCTCTCTTCATTACGACGACAACTTTTTTCTTCAAAACCCCCCGTAAGATGGAGATGGAATTGCCTGCTACACCTACGCCCACTACTGACACACGAAACATCCATTTCAATTTCCAATCACCTAAAACAGTCGACAAAGCACAACAGTCGCTACGTATGCAAGTAGCTGCTCACAACTTCAACAAACGTACGGCTTGTGACTCATTTGTAACTGTAGACAGTCCGTCCTCGCCACTGCCCGTTGCAACATGCAACTTTGCAGCACTAAGTCGTCACTTTCATCTACCACTTAAAGTAGCAGCTGAGAAATTTGGTGTACGTGCTACAGCCTTTAAAAAACGATGCCGAGCCATTGGAATCCGTCATTGGCCTTATCGTAAAGTTCGCAGTCTCAAGCGCTCACTACAGGAGCTCGAGCAGTGTCAACAACAAGCCCAGGACGGCTCAGGTCCGCCACTTTCGGACAAACAGATTCGACAATTTGCAGGATGCCAGAGCCAACTAAAACGCCTTTTGTCACCCGAGACTTATGGCATTGACCCCAATGGACAAATGCTGCCTTCCACTTTTTTCTACAGTGATGCTGATGGGAGCAACACTCCAGACGACCGCGAGTCGGATGACGATTCGTGTAGCTCTCCAAGTTCACAACCAGGTGTTGAGCATTTCGTTCACAGGAACAAAGCACGGAAACAATTCTTCACAGACTCACCATCGTCGACCTCTGCTTCGTCACCACATCGTGATACTATGTTCTTCAGTAACCCCATGGCTACGCACACAGCAACTGGCTACAGTCGCACCCAATACAACCAATACAATATTGGAATGATCTCCATGCAGCCGGGATTTGTCTTTGACACGTTCTACGACCCTTTTGGTGAACTCAGCACCTCTACTATGGACCCGTATGGAGACAACGACCATCCATCGTGTGGCTACTCTCTTGATGCCGTTTCATACGACTTTTTTCCACTGCAACCGTCACCGACCATGGCCATGCGAAAAGCTCAAACTGCAGTTGCTAGCACCTCCATCCAGGCAGGAACATCAGCTGCAATCGCTCCAGGTGGACTTGAAGGTCTAGAGGATGACATTTTCCGCCACATTTCCCCCGAATACGGTTGCCTTGTTTAGAGGTGGATGACTGTTTCTCACTTCGCAGTCTCCATCTTTTTTTTGCTAGCAATCTTCCTTTTGCATTGAGGTTTAAATTATTCAAATAAAAACGCTTTAGTCGACCATCGCCCTCGATGACAAACAAACAACATGCCATACATTGTGAAATCTCCATACTCTTCGATCACTGCTGATAACACTTCAATTGCTAAAACACATACAGAAAACTATTACTGTCAGCTTTGAATCAATAAGGCAGTTGTGTACGTACATCAGAGCAGTCCTCGCAACTATAGCACGACGTAGAGCTTAGTTTCGTACCCTTGTTTGTACCTTCCATTGAGGCACTTCTTCAAGCGGTACGCCGTCTAATAGCTCAATGATACCAAGCAAGTGTGAACCCGGGCCTAGCACCGCAGGCTTCATCCCTGCGGCTGCGAATCACCTTTGCTACAGCTTCAAATACAGCGCTGAGATCAGTTAGCGAGTCGGTAACGATCGAGGTCGTGCCGATCCCGATACACTGCAGCAATAGTCGTCTACGGCCCAACCACACTTTTACATGATGATAAAGAAGTGAAGAGCAGACACACACACCGACGTGCAGAAAAAGAAAATACCTCTTATTCATTCTGCCAATGATCTCGAGACGCAGCCTGCCAAATAAGCGCTGTCTTCATAAGATTCGTCCTCGTCTTCATCGTCCTTTTCGCGGAAGTCAATCTCGCTCAGCATCAACTGATACTTCGTCACAACGCGCTGCAATGCGCGGTTTGTCGCAACCGTCGGCAAGATATGTACCTTCAACACGTCCCGTTTAGCGAGATCCTGTCATCAATCCAGGGTGTTAGTCCTGCATGCACAATAATGGCGAAATTCGCCATTGTAAATGAAATAAATGGACGGAGCCATACCAGAACCATAGGATCCCACTCGCTGCTCTCGTCTACACTTAGTGTGGAGTCCTTGCCATTGACTGAACTTGGAGCTGACGATCTACAGGAGAGAAACATTACACTTAGGGGTTCTGTATGTCAATCGTTAGCCGGTAACGAAAACTTACGCGTGGAAGGGGCCCATCATTTCAGCGCAAAGTTCATCCAGGCGAGTTACATCTTCATCATGGGTCAGAAACCTTGCGTACGCCTGTACCCTGTTGAGCAAAGTGAACAGGAATGTAGAGATCAGCAGCTACACTACTGTTATCGCAACGGTGGAAAACAACATACCAATAGCAATATTCAGTTGCGCTTTTCAGCACGATTGCAGCGGCAGCCTGGTGCTCGAGATGCGAGCGCGTCACATTGCGTTGCATCAGCGGGTCTGACATTCCAGAAAGCATGGCTGAAGCGATTCCTCTCTGAATTCGACCGTAAGAGGAGGCATTTTGGAGCTGCCGCAATGGACCAACCTAACGTACACGCAATGTCAAGCACTAAGTAACATCTGGCCAGCACCGACAAAATGACATGCACGCGTACAGGGACGCTTTTGACTGTTACGGCATCTGTTGGGAGTGCGGATGCAAAATCCGAGTACACAAAGCTGTCGTCCGCCACGCGCATCCTGCGTATTGTTACACAGCACATAAGTGAAGTCTCGCGCTTGGATTCATTACGTGGCTCACTTCTCGTCGGATTATTTCGTAAGCAAGGTTCGTACCAGGAGGACATAGCTGAGTCGAATGTGTACGACAGCAAGCTAGAATTGCCTATCGTTTCGGAGCTTGACTCAGCAAAAGTAATAAGCGGCATCCCTTTCTTCGTAACTTGGCACCGAAGCAAAGTTAGCTTGCGATCTTCTTCTGGTGTAATCTACAATACACCACGCACAGCAGACCTAAGAAACACAAAGTACTGTCACAAGAAAAGCACACAGGTAACTTACGCTTGCAATTGCTTCGATTGAGCTTGATAGTATAAGCTTGTGTTGAGCTAGATCCCAGACTTTCAAATCGCCTGTCCCCAATATCACCAGCAAATACGGTGACTCGCTCTTACTGCACTCCATTACTGATATCGCACTTCCCAAAGCTAGCAGAAGCAACGAGGCAAATGTCAGTCAATCATACAAGTGAATGTTAATAGGCTCACAAACATACCAATGCATGGCAACAAGCGTCGTCCATTGCTACTAAGAATCAAAAGGTCGCCATTGTGTATACCAATTGCACAATACCTCGCGTTTCCCACTACGCAAACAGCACGACCAGGGACACGATCGATCCACTTTAACTCGCTCCCTTCCGAACATTTTATCGTTGAATAAACTGGACCTAACTCTGTAGCATTCCATTAACCAAAGAGTGTCAACGATCATTCGCATAAGAAAAACAAGTTAAGCCGAAACTTACTTATGATTTCATCTGGTTGAGGATTCTTCAGATTGTGAACGGTAACTTCTATCACCATTTTAGACGACATCAACCTTCTTGTGTTGTCATTCAATCTTGAGCCTGGAATGCTGGACTGTGTCTTCGTGTCTATTTCTACTGAAAAAAGCAGCCGAACTGGAAATTCAGGTAGCAACTGACCCCGGCTGGTCATGCCAGCACTAGTGCTATCATCAGTCAGGTACAACACACGACCAGTCAGTGGTTTATCATTCGTGATGTGGATCAGGCAGACAAACCTTTCGTTCAGTAGTTTTGGTGCTCGGGCGGCGACTTCTCTTGACTTTGCTACTACGGCGATAGCTCGAGTTGAAGGTCGATCACTTTCTCTTTTCCTTTTCAAAGAAGTACCATCGGACCCATTTTTCTTCCCCTCTATCTTCAGCGACTTAAGAGGTGCGTCATTTGTCGTTGGTACGGCAGAATTCTCCTTTGGGGCAAGCCCAGCCGTTTCGCTACAACTCGGCGCAGTGTTTGACTCGAACGCAGCAGAATCATTGACCGCACAAACAACACTGACCTCCTTTTCACTCGTTAAGGCCATGCGAGTATCCAAGAGTGTGGCGTCCGACGCCGTCGGTGAAAGGAGTGTCGGGCCCAAGATATTGCGGATATTATTCTGCGACGATGCTGGATTATTTGCTGACAACTGGGTGTCCGTCTGAAGCAGTACCGGAGCAATTCGCTTTTTATCAGTTGCTACATTTGGTAGTCTGCTTTGCGGCGTGTTGGTCGCCTGAATTTCTACCATTTTCTTCTTTGGGATAAGTGTGTTGGTTGTGTGGCTTGCTATGGTAGCAGTGCCGCCGTCAGAGTTCTGACTGATAGCCAACTGTGGTAAAGTTGTCAGCTTTTCTTCAAGCTAAGCTCAGCAACAAGAATTCGTAAGTATATTGCCTCGTCTCACTCGCTCAAGTGATACGTGGATCTAGCAAGCATTACCTGAAGCTGAATCGGGTTTTCAGCCAATGTCGATGCGAGCGTAATACCGGCTCGTGATCCATACTACACAAGTTACGTACGTAAGAACTTGCGTACGCCTTTTCAAAAGCAGCATTTCAAAGAGAACCCACCTTCGCCTGGAGAAGCTTACTTTGCTGCGCATCGGAAATAGGAGTGCCAATCTCATCTCCACCAAACTGGAAGCAGCAGACGGAGCCGTCAAGCGAGCAGGCGAGGAGTAGAGACTGGGAACTTGACCATGTCAAGTCCGTTACGGACGAGTCAAAGCAGTCCTTAATGACAGCGAGTGGGCGTGCTAAATGAGCTAGCCAGATGCTTACAGTCGCATCGTCACCACCTACTGCACAACATGCAAATTCCTTATCTGGATCTGCTGTAGTTACTGCGGATCAAATACAAGAAACGAGTATTAGTACGAAGCTTATGTCGCTTCAATGGGTCACTTCATCGACGTACCAAGTAGTTTCGGGTTAAATCGAGCACTGGTTACAACACCCTGGTGGCCGACAAATTTGAGGTCGTTTGTCCAGGATCCGCGGTTTAATAGTGCCGCGATGTTTTTCTTAGAGCTGAAAGCGTGTGTAGCACAGAGAACCGAGCCGTCAGGAGACCATGACAATCGACGGAAGTGCGATGTCGAAGCACATCCCTCAAATGGCTCGGTCACAATGTCCGACTCTTGCCAATCGGCTACTTTCCACATTCGAACCGTCTTGTCCTCTCCAGCACTCGATAAATACTACAGTAAAAGAGCAACAAATCTCCGTCAACACCAACAAGTTCACACTCGGAATGTTTCCAAGAACCAATGATCCAAATACCTTGCCAACAGGGTCCCACGCAACACCTTTGACCCATCCATTATGTCCAGTGAGCGTTTGCAATGGCTGCGTCATGACTTCACTCAGTCCTCCAAGACCAATATCCCAGATTAAAATCGTATTGTCAATACTACAAGTTGCCAGCATCCGATCATCCGGTGACCACGCAATATCTGCCACATCTGTAAGACAGCCAGAATTGTGTAAATGAGAATTACTCAGCAAAAAAACAAACCTCTTGAATCGAGATTCTCGTACCCATTGTATGTCTCTCCAGTGTAGCACATCGGACCCAATTTTGTTTGTTAAGTTTTGCATTTGATCCAAAAGGAACAGGAGCTGGAAGACCCGTTTGTACTTCATAGAGTAAAACCAATTGATCATCGGAACCTGAAGCCAAATATCGTCCATGATTTGTCCATCGGACACAATTTACAGCTTGTTGATGATTTGATAAAGTTGCCAAAAGCTCAAATGAAGCAATTCCTTCCTCGTGTGGCACTTGAAGGGACCAAATTTTAACATTATTGTCTCCTCCAGCCGTTGCAAAAAGCTGTAGTTTTGGATGAGCGTCTATCCCATAAATAGCGCATACTAGAGAGAATAATTACATGGTTATTACGACAAAATCATGGAGAAAGTAATGAAAAAAGAATCGTTTGTATTGTACCAGTGCCTGATGAGTTCTCGTGCTTGACGTCCTCGGGCTTTTCCAACAGCATATTGACTCGTTACGTACTAGTAGTTATGTTGTGTAACTAAAATGGAGGTACAAAGTAACCTCTCATGAAGTAGCTGCTACTTGAAGCGCTAATTTTTAGATTTGTTTGAATCAAGATTTAAGATTATGACAAATTGTGACAAATTGTAGCTCTTTCAAACTACCAAATGTGTCAAGAGACTTAATGCTTTGTTTTTATGCAGCTTACAAATTCAAAGGCCAGCAGTGTCATTATCAGTCTGTAAAAAGTTGTTGTCTTCCATATGCATCTTTGTTTTAATGCCACTAATACAAGTTTCAACAATGTCAGTGAATCAAACAAGTGTTCTTGGAAAGAGAGCTGGTAGAGTAGAGTATCTAGAGTTGTGCTTACAGACATCAAGTGTTTCAAAGAGTTGAGGCTGCTTTTTTGTCTCTGCAAGTATTCGTCCAGTTCCAACGATATTTTCCATCAAGATGTTTCATCTTGATTCACGTAGGCGTGCATACATCCGTTTTCAGAGATTTTGGAGGCACCAAGCACACGTACAGTCGTGAATGGATCGACCAAGAGATCAAAGATGCCTGATGCTACTTCAGCTCGTGGTTCCCATTTGAATACTTGACCGGTAGCATTGAAGTAGAAATGCGATTCGAAAGGAAAGCTGTAAGTCTTACCAACGAGACGCTGGACCAATTCTTCGTCATTGAGCAGTGGCTGGAAAAAGTGTCGGATAGTGTCACGCGAGATTCGCAGAGTGAACCGCCCGACACAGCGGACAAGATACACGTCCGGATCATCGCTCTCGAGCGGTTGGATCTGCTCGCAGTGTTGTATAATCTCGGCATGATAGCGTGTGTAGTTATACCATTGCACAAAGAACGCATCCAGATTATGGAACGCTGGAGACTCCACATCCGGTAGGATCATGCTTCGTACTTTTGCTTCCAACTCCCACGCGTTGCTCTGAGTTGGGTCGTATCCGCGCGAGAAGCTCTGGTAATAAGCACGCACTTTGTCCGATACAAGCTGTAAGGCGTTCGTTCGACGCGCCAAGTACAAGGACGAAAGCAGTGTCTGTCGTCTCTCTAGAGCCGAAATCTGTTGATGCATCAGCTCCATCTCCTGCATCGCTAGCATTTTCCGTCGGAGTTGCGTCTGGTTGGCATCGATTTTCGAGCTCTGGATTCGTCGGAAATGTGCATGCATTGGGCCATATTTGCTCAATGTATGACAGTTCTTTGACAGCCGTCGTGTACGTCGTCGACGTTGTGGAGGTTCGCCTGGTATCGTCATATGAGCGACAGCATGTTCAAGCACGGCTATTTGCTGTGTGGTTGAGTCGATCGACGATAATGAGACGATAAGTGCTGCAGAGGAAGTGTCAGTCTCACGATCAATAACGTTATTATCATTAGCATGCATTGCATATCGATTGCGTCGCTTAATGAGACTTGAGAGCATGACAGAGAGGAAGGAGAAAAGAATGAAATGGGGAGATCTGCTTGGCGGATTCTTTATGAACTTCGTACAAGACTCGAACCGGTGATTTGTTGCTCCTCCAACAGATGTACATAAATCAAATCTTTCAAGCCTACAAAAGTCCGTCCAGTTTTTTTTCTCGCGTGTTCACGTAGCGACAAAGTCTCAACTTCCAAGTTACAGTATTGCTGCATGTCAACTAACAGGCAATTTACCAAGTATTATTATTCTCGACCAACTAGCTAGAGATATTAGGATTATATACTAGAAAATAATATGTATAATCTTATCCGGCATCGAATAGAATAGAGCACAGTCACATTTGGATCAAAACTCAGCAAAGTCTACTGTATGATTATTGATAGTGAACACAAAAAAAAGCCTTGTTGTAGTTCGTCTCTCTGCTCGACGCGTCGCAAATTGTAGCAATGACATGGCTACATCTAAATGTCAATTTTGAAAAGTACGGGTTTTGACAAGTAAACTTTACTTTTAAGCAGAGCCAGTCATTTTTACCAATATGAGCGAACTTTACAAGGAAGCAGCGACGCTCTTGTACAAGCTGGAGAAACGTCAAGGTGGATTAAAGAGCTTGGCTTATGCTGATTCTACAGTGCATAAACGTAGCTCCTTTGCGCTTGTATGTGAGACGTTGCGCTATAAACCACTACTACGTAAACTGCTGGCAGCTTTGCCCGAATGTCATAGAGCGCTAAAGACGCCCAAGGACGCTACAGAACCGTCTGCACTCGTGTTTGTGACACTCTATGACCTTCTCTTTGGTCGGCAAAAGATACAGGGTGGTGGATACGTGAAGAAGGCACTTTTGCAGCATGAGACGGCGTTCCGAGCGGCACTAGCGAGACTAAAGATTAAGCACAAAGTGGCGTCCAACGAGGCGCTTTTACCGCCTGAAAATCGTCAGCAGCACCTTGCACTACCTCGTTACGTACGTGTCAATACGCTTTTGGCTTCTAGTGAAGAGATCGAGGCCTTTACGCGCGAGTTCGGTGCTAAACAAGACCGAGACGTGCGAGATCTGCTCGTGCTGCCATCGGGTACAGAGCTGCATGAACACGAGATGGTCATTAGTGGAAAGCTAGTGCTACAGGACAAGGCTAGCTGCTTTCCGGCTTTTGTGCTGCATGGAGAGCACACTGATGCAAAGGACAAACAGGGCGACGTGATTGATGCGTGTGCCGCTCCTGGTAACAAGACTAGTCACCTGGCAATGCTACTGCAGCAACAAGATGGTGACGGAGAGGATGGCATTACTCGAAAGCGACGAGTGTTTGCTTTTGATCGATCAGCTAAGCGGCTTGAACTGCTAAAGCGACGCATGGAACTTGCAGGAGCTGCTGCTCGGGTACAGGCTGAACTGCAGAGCTTTTTGGAGGTTCCCGTGGACGATGAAATGTATCGCAATGTGCGAAGTATTTTGCTGGACCCATCGTGCTCTGGTTCGGGGATGACAAATCGTCTGGATCATTTGCTAGATATCGCAAGTGCGCGTGATACCGTGCTGGAACCCGATGCTGGCTTAGAATATGAAGAAGAGACGGCCAAGCGTCTCCAATTGCTTGCAGATTTTCAGCTTGAAGCGCTACGAAAAGCTTTCTCATTCCCACAAGTAGAGCGTGTGGTATATTCAACTTGTTCTATTTTTCAGAAGGAGAACGAAGAAGTTGTCGCTGCAGCATTGCAATCCGATGAAAATGTTCATGCAGCGCGTCCTTTTGTGCTGAAACCAGCTTTAAAGTCATGGCCACGTCGTGGTCTTGAGGTCGCAGGCTTATCGGTCGAACAGGCCATGGCACTTGTTCGTGCAAACGGCCTTGAGGATTCGACAAACGGATTTTTCGTGGCGTATTTCGAACGAACTGACAATGTTGTTGGCGCTTCAAGTGCAATAAATGATCAATCTGAGAAGACATTTAAGTACCCCGCTGCTGCAAGTGTTCAAGGTACCGCTACATCACCTATAGTAAGTGCAAAAGCTGAGACTTTACATACTGGGAAGAAGCGCAAAGTGCTGTCAATGACTCAAAAGGAGAAGCGCAAGCGTCGGAAACGTGAGAAGCGCAAGAAACATGGCATTTTAGTATTAGACAACAAATTAGATGACGAGGTAGAATGAAAGCAGCTTAAAGTTTCTGTTGCTAGTCGCTATCAAGCAGTGTTTGTGCAGGTATGTTCGGGGTTTACGACACGCAACAAACCTCTCTCCACGAACAGAGCGGCACATCTGGTCTGCATGAGCAGCTGTAAAGTATGACAGGGCTTCTTTGGGTCATCGGCGTACGTTTGCGCCAAGCTGTTAAAGATCTCCGACCTTGATGCTGGTGTGGTTGTGCTTGACGGACTAAAGTAGCGGTCTCAGATGGTGGACATGCCGATCCTTGTAAGTGTTTAAATGTACGGGTACGACTAAAGCAGCGGGCATCACGAATCGGTCACTGCGAGCTCCCGTAAACCGTTTCGGTAGCTCAAAACGAGATTCTCGTAAATGCTGCCTACATAGGTTTGCTTCACCCCGCCATTAAGCAGCTCTTTTAATGGCCGTACAAGGGCCTCCCGGTTGAATATGACGTCCCGTACAAAAAAGCTCTACTCACCCAAGTATCCCAGCGCAAGTTTCTAGTAAGAGTGGAAACAAACGGAATATTTGCAGAAGCACCTGAAAATGCGAACACACCAGCTTTTTTCACGCTAAGTGGTCATGAAAGCTACTACTCCTGCTGACTATCGCCCATTTTGCCGTCTACGTTTTACAAAGCCACAAGACACAAGGGTTTCTCAAGTCTTTTAAAAATCACAAGCAAGGATGTTAGCTACGACAGATGATCACGCTTCTCCTTGAAGGTGCTCACTTTGTCGCTCTTGAGCCGAAGGAACACCAAAAAAGCGTTCTTGATCTCTTCATACGCCGTTGACGACAGTGACTACAGGCGCGTCGTAACATCCTATCGCATACGTTAAAGTCTAACTTAGTGACTCGTGCACCGCTAAGACGTCCCTTTTCGCTCTACATTTCGTTATAGCTACAGCGCAGACCGTGGCCAAAGCATCAACTGATCAACCTTTGGAGCAAAAGTACCTTAAGCCGCTCATCGTAACCTGTGCGAGTCAGTACAGCATCAACATTTGCAGACTTACCGTTTGAGGTTCTTGGAACTTAGCCCACAGAGACACTGATGCTGTCTATACGTTGCACCATGTTGCCACTTTGTTGGAACAAAGAAGACGGAAATCGTATTTGTAAACACATCTTAGTTGCATATAAAACCATTATGATGCCACGAACGCGATTGGCGTGACAGGCTTGCAATAGAATAAACTATTCGCTTTGCATGATCTGTTGCGGCTTACAAGGCCCCAATCAACTTACACCGAACCTTCCACGACGCTCGCCTTTTTCTCCTCCACAGCGTCCTCCTCCACAGCATTTTCCTCTGTGAGTGCCGTTACGCCGGCCTCGACGTCCTCGTCACTGTCCTCGTCACTGTCTGCCTCGGACGCGGCGTCCTCTTCGACCTCAGCATCGGCGTCAGCTGATGTGTCCTCTGCGGATTTCTCGGAGGCGCGCTTCCGGTTCTTGGCAATGGCCACGACAGCCAAACCGACAACACCCACAGCAGCACCAATGAGACCGCCGAAAATGGGAGCCTTGAAGGAGTTGTTCTGGATCCATGACTTGGTCTCGGCTGCGTAAGACACAGTCGCCTCCTTGGTCTCTGTGGCAGGCGCCTTGTCCTCCTTCTTCTCCTCCTTCGGCTTCACCTCCTCCTTGGACTTCACCTCCTCCTTAGGCTTCACCTCTTTGTGTGGAGCATCCTTCTTAATGTCGTTCTTGATAATATCCAAGTCCACATTGCCCTTGTGCATCCGCAAGTGAATGGACTTGGCTCCCTGAGGTATATCAATAACCTCATCCAGTTCCTCATCGTCATCAATATCAAGATTCTGTTCGTAAGCCTCGTCATCCTCTAGCTCCACCTCCACATCACCTTTTGTAAAATCAATATCTGAGTCCAACTGATGAGTAGGATCTAAACTAACATCGGTACCTGTGTCCAGACTGTCAGAAGTAAAGAGCTCCGCTTCCAGATCACTGCTAGCTTCAATGTCCAAGACCTCATCATCCTTCAAATCCACATCGGCGTCAATTGGGCCATCAATATCCAAGTCCACATCTTCATCCACAGTATCAATGATCATTTCTTCTGACTGTTGAAGTTCCAGATCGAACTTTTGTGAGCTAGTTACGTTATAAGAGTCGTACGATGTATCGGAATCATCTGATTCCTTTGTCTGGTCGACTACATTGGGGGCGTATTTTACCGAATGGTGAATCCCATTTGCTAAATTACGGCGTGGGTGCGTGCGTAGAGCAGAGGTTTGTGTTGTCTCTGAGGCTGCAATTGTCGATGCGCATAGCATTAGCCCGACGGTCTTTTTCACAGACAACACCATGACTTTTGTCCTATATGGAGCTAATGTGATTATGATTCGCAATCTACACGACAGGTGAAAAAATCAGGTTCTGAACCCACGGGTTTATGCTGTTAATTCTATGAATCGGATTTGAAAGGGAACGATAATGAGTGCCAGTCAGATCAGTAAAAGGTTCAACCCACTTTTGCAAGATATGATACGATCGAAGTCTGGTAAAAACTTCATTGTTTTACATCTGGGTTTGATTTATTCCGGTTCATGTAGATTGACGTGTTGATCCAAATGTCGTGCGCTTGGCTCGCATTTCATACCGTAATATATCATGAGTACTGTGTAGATCTAGCATGTTTGACGTCCATTTTGAAAGGTAAAAACTATCAGGACGATAAGAGCGAGGTCTCAGTCATAAACTAACAGTTTGGTAGCGTCGTGTCCGATGAACACTCTGTACATTACAATTTACAAGCAGTTTTTTGAGAAGATCGAACAATCAGATTGATGCAAACGTGGCAGCAGCAAGTGATCGCAATGCTACGATCAAAAATCACCAATTATTGTGGCATGGCGATCACTTGCTGTATATAATAATATATATATAAACGTCCATGCCACTCGATCATCGTGGCATCGTAGGTCTGCATGAATCTGATTGGTCAATTTATAAGTATCTGGATACAAAAATTTCCTGTTAGGGTGGACCGACTTTATCACGTTTAAGTAATGTCACTCAAACGAGGAATTCATTTCAAAGAAGAATGGTCGACTACAAAGGGCAGGCACGTGCAGAGACTCTTCTAATGGTGTGCTTTGTGGTCATTTGCACGCCCGCCTGGATCTATGGCTACTTCCAGCAAGACTTTACATACCCATTTCAAGCGTGGATGGCAGCTACAGTTCTTGGCGCACTGGTACGTTACAAAATGTGCCCCAAGAAAGAAAGAGATGGACACGTGGCATTTTGTTGACATTTGATAATTGTCTTTTCTGTAGTTGGTTCTACCAGATTGGGCAATCTACAATCGCAATCCGATCAAATGGCAGCCCAGTGTCATGCACGTAAAGAAGAAAAGCAGTTAAAACACATAAAAAAGACACGACGAACGGGTAAATGCTTCAAGTAGCAATCAGAGATGAAGCTAGAAAAGACATTTCTGGTTGACATTGGTGGAGATATTGCAGCTACAATACTCAACTAAGGTCGAAATGACACTTCATTCCTTGTCATCGTCGCCTTTGGTATCCCCATCATCGCTTTCTCCTTCCTGCTTATTCTCTTCTTCCTCCTCATCTTCGTCCTCCTCTTCCTGATCCTCTTCATCTTCATCGTCGTCTTCGTCCTAGTATAGCAGCAACACATTTGCTCAGCTTGCCACATCACATACATTCAACTAGCAAGATCAAATCGTACCATCAAGAAGTACCGCACAGGGTACTTCCATATCTCTTCCTTAATGATCTCCGCCATTTCCTGTTCGCCATCCGTCGTGGTGAACCACTGAACAAAGAAGCAATATACAGCTTTTAGAAACAAGTCCATACATCAGACCAGCATGTAGGCTACCATACATCGAAGAAGAATCTCGTTGGCTCCTCCGTCGTTTCTTCTTTCTCTTTCCAGGTAATTTCCGACGTCGTGACCTCCGTTTCTTCCTCTTCCACTGAAAACTTAACCTGCTTCCACAGCGTCGTAGGAGAAAAATACGGGTTTTCCTTGAAGGTCTAGTAGCAATCAAAAATGTATAAGTTTCTTTCCAGAGCTGTCCAAAAGAGACAGGAGTTCTTACCATTTCCATCTTAAAAGTTCCATCATCGCCCACAAATGTGACGTCAAATGTCTGCAAGTAGTCGAATATTTTCTTATCATCTTCGGTAATAAAGCCATTCACCGGCATGTGGTTCTCAAACTATACGATACAAAACATCACAAATTAATTACATAAGCGCGTAAAGTAATCAAGCAAGTCAATAGCTCACTTAGCTACTACATAGCACGTACCACTTTCTTCCAAAAGTGAGGAATCTCATTCAATATCTTGTTACGTTTGACATAAGTAGAATGCTTTTTCATATTGTATTTGGCTTCGATGACGAGAATCTCCTTGGCTTGCTCAACATTCATCTGCTCAAGTTCCTCTTCCACTTTCTGCACTTTCTCAAGCACTTCCTTTACTATCTTTGACTCATTCTCATCCGACTCGTTGTCATGAATACGCTGGCGTTTAGGAGATGGAGGGCCTGTCATCATGTGACGGACTGGTACTATTTTGTATGGAATAACTGGTAGCAGCGTATTTAAGCTATTGATTGCAAATCAAGTTCTGTCTTTATCCCATTTCTAAACTGAATACCAAGTCTGATCATAGGGCTACTATATGTATATTTTGCCTAGTCTTTTCGAAACGGAAAAATTAAGGTGCAGCTTAAATATCCGACTGTTAGTTATATATTGCAATATATTGTATCGTATACAATTGCCATGCGTCTCCTGTCTGCTATGAGCACGTTTGTTCTGTCAGTAGCAGCTTCTTCTTGTGATGAGCGAAAGTTAGTGCAAAAAGCTGCAACGGTACTGGCAGACCACATGGATATGGAATTAGGTGGCATTGGAGCTGGCAAGAACAATGTCGTGGGGTTTCAATATCTGGTAAAAAAATGTCCGCAAAAAGATTTATAACATTAAATGCTAACATTTTAATTGTAACATTGCAATATTACATTATAGAAACCTGCTGAAGCTCTAGTAGCAGCACAAGCTCTTGCTCATGAAGATTTCCATCAGGCAGCAATACAAGTCCAGCGTATTCTTGAGTATCAAAAATCTGACGGATTACTGCCACATTTGGTCTATGGTCCTTCTGTACCGTCATATTTACAATGGTTATCCAGCAATCACACTTTTCATCCAGGGCCTGCATTTTGGCAACAAAGTTCGTGGAAACAGGAGAACCAGAAGAAAAAGAAGATAATTTCAAATTTAACATTTGATACTTCGACAATCTCAGCTCCTCCAGTGGCAGGAGACGTGGCATGGCAAATCTTTCGGCTAGCACCTTATGACTCGGTGTTGGGTGGAAAAACAAGTGCTGTTCAATTCTTGTGTCACGTCTATGAGCCACTGAAGAAGATACAGAAGCATTTGTTTTCTACACGACGTCGTTCAAATGGTTTACTGACAGTTCGTGTACGTTCTGGTGACTAAATGATCACCGGGTGTTGTATCCTTATGTGTTGCGGTGTAATATGCTTACAAGAAAAGCTGATACATGATTATGGGTGGTGAGTGTATTGTAGCACCCTTGGGAAACGTTTTCGTCGCTATCACCACACTGGAAAGGGTTTCTTGCCAATTTGAAGAAGGCGTCAGACTACAAAACATTTGTTCGCTCGATTCCTGAGGAAGCCCGAAATCGCTTTGCAATCGGAGCAAGTACGATGTTCTCAGCACAAGATGCAGTGGAGAACATGTTTGAGCCCATGATATATCTTGCAGCACAAATGCACCGCAGTGGACAAAGCAGTGAGATCTACAGTCGTAAATTGACCGTGTTGGAGTCTTTTACCTATGCTGCTACCAGGAGTGAGGCTGCTCGATTTGGGGTCGAGGACGTGGAATTTAACTCTCTTATGCTGCGATCATCGCTAGGTCTTGTAAACATCGGGCGTGTCCTCGTGGAGCACTCGTCCGTGTGCAAGGAACTCACCTTAACTCGAAACGAGCTTCTAAATGATGTGAAAGAGCTCCGCACAATGGCGAGCGGGCTGGAGGAGGCACTCATTGGCACCAATACGACTCAAGGTCTGTGGAACGCATCCGTTGATTTTTTCGCAGATTCTAGTTGTATGTCTTTGACTACAACTCACTCTTTACGCGGATTTCTACCTGCATACGCCGTGGAACTGGATGATGACAAGAAGATGCGTTTGATGAAGCATTTCCTTTCGGAACCCGGTTCATTCTCGTTCTTCTGCGCCCAGTTCCCGGCTGTATTTCTTGCGTGCTCCAGGGGTGACTCGACCAAAGCTGCTGGATCAGTTGACGTTCGCTCAGCAGATACAACGTGGATCCTCTACAACTACTTTGTACAGCGGGGGTTCGTTAGAGTACGCTTGCACAATCATGTCTGCTCTCTATGAGTTGACATGACCTTTTACTAACAGTATTGTAACTATTCAGAACAAATTCCCAGGACTCGCTGAATACATACGCAACAAGACAAGGGACATGATATGCAAGGCAACTACACTAACTCGCCCACATCTTTCATGGTTCCCAATTTCGCTGACATTGGAAGAGTCTACGCCAGCGGCGCTTGCAGCAGCCTATGACTCCCGCAATGGTGCACCAGTTGCAGTTTTTGACGATAATTATTTGGACTCGACGCTGGCTGCCGCTACCCTCCTAAACATTCTGCTTCCTGCAGGTATTCGTGTCAAACTCACTTTTGCAAACATGTAAGAAGCTAACTCATTTCTGTCGCATCAGTGACGCTGCCACCAAGTCCAGACACGCCGCCCATTGATCATCGTATCCTTTCTGTTATCATGTGCGTCGAGTTGGTGGTTGCTTTTGGGGTTGCTATAAGCTGTTTCCTGTTTTCGGTTTACTTCGTGGCAAACCGACCACGACATACACGGTTATTTCCTGGATCCAAAGCTTCTGGGGCTGCAGAAAGAGGCACTCGAGACAAATTGGATCGCCATGGAGATGATTTGGGGGATCGTGGTCGATTAAGTCCAAGTGGGTCATCGTGGGCAGAACGATACTCGGAGTCATCTTGTAGCGACGACTACTCTCCAAGATCCGGGCACGCTCGAAATGAGCTGGAGGAGGCGTTAATCTCTGGGTCCGATGAACACTATGGATCTTTTAGTGAGGCTGAACAGCCACACACTCCGTCCAACTCCGCCTGGAAAGCTGCGAAAAACGCGTTAGCAGATATCAGCCCCTGGTAAATGTGAAGATTGATTTTCCCACGACTGACAATACGAGCTGAGTGCCATAAGATGGACAATGAGAACGTTGAGCAATGATTGATTACTATCTCTTCGAGTCATGGTGTGTTTACAGCAGGTCCTTTTTCCATTTTGCCACAAGTTGAGTTGCCGCCTTTGCCACCGAGGGTGTTGCGTGTTTGCGCAGTTTGTTAATCGTACGCCCAACGCCCGTGCTCTTTAAGATATCAACAGTGAGCATCATATCGGCGAGGGTGCTCAAAACGTGTGTTGCAAGAGCGGCTGAAACGCTCTTGACGTCGCCATTCTGATCCAGTAAACCCTGCAGGAAGCCAATTCGGGTTGCGATGTCTTCGTTTTCAGATGGGGCAGCTGCCGTTGCTGCCGCTACCTCAGAATCGGCATTTATATCTTTGGCATTGATTGCACTACTCGTGGAGCCCTGCTGAACCAGCGACAGAAGCAAAGTGTAAGTACTCAGGTAACAGTTTGTAAATGGCACAGCATCATCTCTCACATCAACGCCACCGATGTCCGCATTCAAATGTAGCTCTAGCATCGGGATGACCTCCGGAAAGGCAGGCGCGAATCCCACTCGCCGAGGCTCGCACAGTGCCCACAGCGCTTGCACAGTTGAAAAATATCGCTGATAGGCGTCGTTTTGTGCCGATTCAGTCACCCAAGACCCATCTTCGTGTTGAGTAAGCAACAAGAAAGCCATTCCTCGACGCATTTGGACGAGATTACTCGAGCCTTCAAAGCACCGTAAAGCCTACAAGCTTTCATTTGTCAGTGAGGGATATTTTAGATTACACTAACCACTGTCTTCTTACCCGTAAAGTCTCTCCGAGCAAAGCCACGTCTTGTTGTGCGAGGTGATATGCAACATGATGGCGCAAGAAGAAGTATTCATGAGGAAGAAGGTCCTGTTGGCATGTACACAAACACATTGGTGCTAAACTACAAAAGTGCAGCTCAATGTCGATTTCCTTACCGTCTCGCAGCGCAACTTTCCATGGTGGGTAAGTACAAACACCAGTGTAGTGACAAAGTGCACCTGGTCTTCATATTCTTGGGGCGAAAGATCACCAGGGCCTTGGTATGGATACACCGATAGCAAGTGTTGGAGCAACTGCGACAAGGTGAATCCAATCGAGATCCCAAGGCCATGCGACTGCTGCCATAGAACCAGTGCTCTCGTCAGTCGCTCGTATATTGAGGCTCCACTCTGGTCAGTCGGCGGTGGTGGACCCTCTGCGGGATTCCACCCTAAGAGTTTCTGCTCAACAACAACATCAATTGATTTCGTTTTCAGTGAGTCATTCTTCCTTACATGACAAAGATATTTTTGTAAGTCTTTTGAGTTTCGTACCTCAGGGCCATAGACAGGAGGCGATCGATCACAAAAGTCCAAGAGTTCGACACGTCTCGGATGGGAGATTCCTAGACGTTCTACCACATAAGCAGCTCGAATTACATTAACGAGCTGCGTCGGCGTGGGAATAGAGCCTAGTGTCCAATCTGCGTGTCGGTCTTCCTTTAGCCATAAAGCACCCATAAGTCGGGCATAAAGTGTCGCTAATTGCAATACTTTACCCTCTTCGACCATCTGCAGGTCATAAAGTGATTGAATAGCATGCAGTCCCCAGTCCGGGAAAATCACGGGAGATTCACGTAACATTAAATAGATTCGACCAAGACCTTTGATGATACTTTCACGTCTTAGTGTTTTTTTCCAAGGCTCTGGAACTGCTCGTTTTGCCAATTTCTTTGCTTTTAATTTACGTAATTCTTGATGCATTAATCGCTTAAGGACGTCCTTATGGGTCGTAAGACTTACATGAACTTGTTTTTCCACTGTCTGTCGGACCATTTTCGTTGTTAATTTCGTTACATCATGAGATGTAATTACATTTGCAATGGCCAGTGAGATTTTAGCTTCTAATTCCTTTGAAATTGATCGTGGATTCGTAAGAAGCGATGAACCAGAAGACGTCATCTTAGTGTACATTCCCCCGGCCATGGGATCGAATATCTGGGACAAGAAGTATACGAAAAGTAAATATATTCTGCCCAATCGTCGTTGAAAAGACGGTTTCATATACTGAAACCAAGTATAAAATGGTCTGTGGCTCTCCTCCCCCACGTCACAATTGCAAAAAAATGCTTCGAATCCGATCGTCTGGACTATCGCGTCTCGCGAGCCGCCGCTTTATCGGTGGGTTCGCTGCTGATGCATCTGCACCGACAGTGTCTGAAAAAGTGTGCGTTCAATTAAGTCTTACTTCTTGGGTTGCTAGCTCTTTCTGTATCGTGATTACTTAATCATTTGATGATGCTATGGGACCAGGGTGAATGTGGTGCTTGTGGATTACGAAGGCAATCGTCACATTGTCAAGGGACGCGTTGGACAGACACTTCTTCAAGCCTGTGAGATGAATAAGATTGGATATGTTAAAGATGATTCCATGGGTGGTGGTGGTATGTACGACGCCCGACGCACGGATTTTTACACCGAGTCGCTCTTTGGGGAGGGTTTAACATCTCCACAATCGCATGTGGTGATCTCGAATGAATGGATCTCTAAGCTTCCACCTGCTGATACGAAAGAGCGTCACATCATTGATACTTACGTCCCTACAGAGGATCGCTCTGCTAATTCTCGTCTGGGCACGGGGATTGTGCTGCAGAAAGAGCTGGATGGTATGGTGGTGGCTGTGCCAGAAGCAGCACCCGTTGAAGAGTACATGTACGATCACGAGTATGAAGAGGATGATTACGAGTCGTATGATGATGAACAGCAGCAGGCGTAAAGAGATAAGAGGGGCAGGAAGACGTGATACATGCGAAAAAGCACTCGCTTGTTCCGATAGACCTTTTGGTCCATTAAAGTGATGATGCGCTGGAGACGAGAGTAGTGTCACCATCAAGCCCCGCTTCTTACAAAAAAGAAGATGAAGAAGAATACAAGGTAAAGAGTACGTTCAATTTGTAGCTCTGTCTAACCTCGTAATCTTTGGGTTTCTCTTTCGTAACTTGGTCACCATTCTTCGCAAAAGGCATGGTTTATTTTACCGCGAAGAGAGCTCCTGTCGCCACAGATAAGGTCTCCCTGGTGAATTGATGCTTTGGCTTGTGTCACTTCGATACATCTAGACTTGCAAGCTGCTTCTTGTAGAAGACTGGACTATCTGTGTCGTTTGCTGCAACTCCTCATTTTACGTTTTAGCTTTCCCCACAGTTTGTTGTGCTAGGACCCTGAGCAGAAACGTAGGACGAGATTGTTGTGCATGCTTCGTGGCGCTCAGGATCAGTTTCATCAGCCACGTTGCGAATGTTTTAGAGCAGACCATCACGTTTTGACCTACTGCACTTTTTGGCATCCATCAATTGCGCTTCAAGGCTTAGAGTATGTCATTCTTCATCCGCACAATATTATAATCCATCCTTCTTCGTTCAGAGCTACAAACGTTTGGCTCTATATGTGCGGCGAACAGAAAACAATGGCGTGATAGACACCGACCCGCAAAGTAGGCATTGAAATGAAGTTTCGGTCTTGAGACAAACAAACCTCCAAGACCGAACCTTCAGTTCCAGGACCGAACCCAGAGATCCTTTGCTACTCCCTGCCTACCATGCTTCCATCCAATACTTTCCATTTCATTCTTACTTGGTGACGGTCCTGTCCATGACGCATGCGGCGGCCTTTCACTGGTCTTGTAAAGGGGCAGTCCCGTCAATAAACAATGGTGAGACTTTACAAACAAGTCACTTGCTCAAGAGCTTTCTTGACATTTAGCATTCGGCCGATTCAATGACGTGGCTTCCCTTCGATTTACACATTACAAGTGAGCAATAGACTACTGCTCTTGCGCACCCACTCGCCGCAAAGCTGCCAAGCGAACTTTCTTGCGTTGATCAGCCCGAGTTGACGATTCCGACGATGATGCTTCCTTAGCGCCACCAACAGTTTGGCCAGACCCTGATGTCAAATGCCACATCCTTTTACTTTACCTTGAGACTCAAATAAAAAACATGCAACCTAGCAACGCACCTGCAAATGGAGTGTAGACAGTATCGGAACGTCGCGAGGTTGCGTTCGTGATCCGCGAACGCGTATTGGTGTCACCCACTGGTGCTTGTTCCATCACATCAGCCGGCATGAGACAGCTAAGGAATGAACCCAAATAGGCTGCGCGATTGACATAAGCAGGAATTGGTTTTCCCAGCAGCAGTTGACACAGCGCGTCCGCGTACGTGTTGCAATTTCTATCAGAACAACCACAAAGTGTCAAATTAGTTTCATAGTGTCCTCTGTCTCGTGTCTATAGCCCAATATCATAGTAAAACTTTACTGAGTAAACAAATTGTAGCCATCACCATCAAAATCTGAGCTTAAAGAATAGGCGAGTCGTTGAGCTTCCTGAAAACTTCCTTCGAAGAACCCCATTTTGATTGATTCTCGGAATTTAGCACCTAATGAAACGTGACATGTCAATGAATTGATTTAAGATAATTTAGATATAACTTCATTTTTGTATACCAGTTACTCGTTTGGGACTTAAGGAGAAGACGCCGGCTCCACTTGCATATGAAAATTCCTCTCCGGCGATCTCAACGCCACTGTGGAAGATGCCCAGGCCCAGTGCTGTAGAAATTTCATTGAATGTAAATTAATGGTTATAATAATGCAGGTTTAGGACGTACGTGCGATGTAATTATTGGCCTCTATGAGGTCGTAGATATTAAGTATCACGGCAGTACGGGGAGCCATGGCGAGCGTCGAGCACAAACAGAATGGCAAATATCATGCTAGTTTCATTTTTTAAAAATATTGCAATATCAATCTTATGTTAAAGGGAACTTCATCCGCTACAAATACTTCACTTAACAATACTTAGAATGTAGCCATCTCTACACTTCATATCGCGAATATCGTCAATTTCATAACATATTACAATAATTGTTCCGTTTTTTACATTAGGTGAATGACGAAGGAAGATTCGTGGTTCAATAATGCAGTGCAGCGTCTACGTCACCATTTCAGCAGTGATCGTTCAGTTTCTGTCTACGAGGCATTAACAGCTCATGTCTTAGATGCGGCCACAGGCGGTGCCTTGTTCCTCACTGGTGTGTCGGCAGCGCAAGTGGCTCAGAACCTTCTACGCATCGGTTCGGCCTCCGGCTTTTTACTACCTCAGGCATTTGGTGCTGCTGCCGTCGCGTCGTCTTCCGTCTTGGCGCTACATTTTGCCTTCATCCCGAGGGAAATTTACCAGGAATTAGCAGCGCAGAGCCGTCGAGCCAATGAGAAGCGACGCTGGAGCTGGCTCGTGCTCGGTGCCAAGAACCTTCAGCCGCCAAAGGCGTGGAAACAGGTGCAGCTGAAAGTACAGGAACGCTATGAGAATCTTTCACAAGCTCCTTACCCAGTCTACATGGTAATGGGGCTGCTGTGTTTCAAGCTACTAGGGGGACGGATGAGTGCCCTCGCACCCTCTCCTTTCGCCAATCTCGGAGCTTTTCACCTCAAGAAGGCGTCACTCCCGGCAACGGTTGACTATGCCACGAGTATCGAGAGAGGCATTATTCAGGAGTTTGGAAGGCTCTTTGGATGCCATACGTGCGGAGTTAAACGTGGCGTGCGATATCACGCAGACCACATGCCGCCGAAATTGTAGGCAGCGGCTGATAGTGTACTTAGTTTGTTGTGCGCTTTGGTCTTGACTTCTATTGCCTTGCTGATGTGTAGGGTGGCCAAGCGCACAGACGAGAAGATTGTCCGAAGGATGCTGGGTCGAAAAACGACCTTCCGCTTTTACCCGCAGTGTGAGTCGTGCTCGAACCGTCAAGGCAGCGTAGTGAAGCAGTGGAAATCGACGCTCAAGATGCATCTGCTGTCGTTCCGAGCGTACCATTTTACTGGCCTGTGGCTCGTCCTGTTGTGCACTGGTGGCCTCTATGTTGGAGGTTCGAGCTTCCATGAGACGTCCGAGGTATCTGCTCCCATGGATGCAGCTAACGAGACTCCCAATTCATTTGCTTCATCGGATTTCGCGTTGTTGATGTCACTACGTGAACGGGAGCGTAAATTACGCCGAGAGCGAGGAAAAGAGAGGGAATCAATTCAGGTTGCTGCGATCGATAAAGAATTGGAAGCAGTTGCGGAGTGCACGAAGGCCGTCAAAGCTGACATTAAACGGCAGAAGGCCAACTAGCGGAGGTAGTATCACATGAACATGCTCGTTGCTGGGCGACGCGATTATGAGAAGGTTCGTCTCGATCATTTACTTGGGTCTTGTCATTATCAGCAAAGTACGGTCGAAATAAAATGGACTCATAAGTCAATGAGCCATTAAAAGTGACACTTGCGCCTTAAGTGCTCTACCAAAGCCACTCTCTCTTGCGGTGCTTGATGATGTACTCAGCTCTGTACCCACACTTTCTAACTACGTACAAGAATCGAGCACGAGCAGTCGCCGCCGGTTCTTCGCGTTACGACGTTTTTTACTAAAAAGTTTCTAAAGTTGCGGTTGCGTTTCAGTTGCTCTTATGTCCAGCTCACAAGTATGTTGCTCTTATTTGCGTCTTTCTGACCCATCATTCGCGTACGTCACTTTGCGACTTGCTGTCGCATGCTTAGCAGCCTTTGACTCTCACAGTGCGTACTAAATGACCAATCAGCTTTCAGATCCCGACGCGCTCGTGTCATTGCCGGACTCTAGAGCAGAGCTGGAAGTAGTGCTGGAACAGACATTGAATCTACTGCGCAAGGCGCTAAAGACAGCACAGAGTGTGGCGCTAGACAGTACGCTATCGAATAAGGCAATGCAGGTGGCCGTACTGGCTGCACAAGTCCAAAAGTGCTGTACCATTACTAGTGGCAGCAAACAGTTCAAATCGTTGCAGCCCAGTCATGACGCTAGTGAGGACTGGGCGAACAAGAAGCAGCAGGAATCAGCACCACAGCCTTCAGTCTGGTCTGGATTCTACAACAAAACACTGCGCGAACGATTAGATGTACTGGCGCTCATGTACCCGCAACTCAATAGTCTCAAGATGCAACAAACGGGTGGCATCGATGTAGCTGCTGAAATAATGTCTTCATCAGATCCGGCAATGAAACTTGGCGAGTTGCCGCTACGCACGGCAAACCTCATGATCGAGAATTGTATTGGCGTGCTTGGCATCCCGCTTGGGTGAGTTGGTATGTTGCTACACGTCTAGAATTTTGTCATTGGCTAACGTGTGTGTGACATGTCACTTACACAGCCTTGGCCTTAACTTTGTCATTGACGGTAAAAGTATGTCCGTGCCCATGGCCGTCGAAGAGCCCTCGGTGGTGGCTGCAGCCTCTAGCGCGGCAAAGCTCGTGGCTGCTGCGGGGGACGGCTTCCATACATCGACATCTGACAATGTTATGACGTCTCAGATTCAGCTCGTGGGCACCAAGGACATCCCAGCAGCTATTGCAGCTATCAAATGCAACCGTGAGCGGCTGCTTTCAATTGCTAACACTACGCTTTGTCCAAACATGAAGAAACGTGGTGGCGGTGCCGTCGATATTTACTGCCGCGTAGTTAGCCAGGCCGCGCGGACTACTGCCACTACTGCCGGTGGTAGTTCCTGGTACACTCCATGCGACAATGAGCTCGTGATACACGCGTCTGAGCCACAGACGCAATATCTCGTCGTGCATATCGATGTGGATGTGTGTGAGGCCATGGGTGCCAATATTGTCAACACAGTTGCTGAGGGGTTATCTGAAGAAATCTCGAAGGTGACGCAAAGTCGTGTAGGCTTGCGGATTGTCACCAACCTTTGCATGCAACGCCGTGCTCGAACTGAGTTTGAAATCCCTTTGAACAAGCTTGGTTGGAAAGGTGTTGACGGAAAAGTTGTGGCGGACCGCATTATCGAGGCCTATAATTTCGCCGCTATTGATCCGTACCGCGCAGTGACTAATAACAAGGGAATTATGAACGGTGTAGATGCTGTAGCCGTGGCTACCGGCCAGGATTGGCGAGCCATCGAATCGGCTGCGCATTGCTATGCTAGTCGCTCGGGGCAATACGCGTCACTGTCGCATTATGAAATCGGTCTTTCCCGCGATGGTTCCGGAACGCAGGTGCTACGTGGCAGTTTGGAAATGCCAATCGCGGTCGGATCGAAAGGTGGTGCGTTAATGACCCATCCTGGTTACACTGCCACTCTCGCGATACTGCAGCAGCCAACAGCTCGTAGTCTAAGCGGCATTATCGTAAGTGTTGGGCTTGCTCAAAACTTTGCAGCCATTCGCGCTATAGCGGTGACGGGTATTCAGAAGGGTCACATGGCTCTCCACGCACGAAATATTGCTGTCGCTGCTGGAGCGCCCAGCGAACTTGTGTCGGAGGTGTGCAGCTACATGTTATTGCGAAAGTCTATTAACGTGGAGACGGCGAAGGAGTACTTGCAAGCTCATGCAGTGTTCTCTGAGATCCTGAGCAAATCACCGCCAACTTCGCCGGTCTCAGTGACGCTGCCGTCCATGTTCTACGTAGAAGTTCCCATTCCGGAGCTGGAGAGCACAATCAGTCTCAATCTTGCATTTGAAGCTATTAATAAGCATCCGCAGTACATCGCTATCATGGCACCAAACGCTGCGAACAAGGGTGACAAAGCGACAACGACACTACAGCGACAGTTGCTGGGCGATAAAGGCTACAACCAGCTGGAGGAGATGTTCACGTTCCTGGCTTCCATGCGTTCCATCTTTATCCCCAACTCGAACACAGAGAGCGATCTACTGGTATCCCGCTCAAACATCGGATTGCAGAACAAGCTGCAGCTACTGTCCATTCTCATCAATATTATTGCGTACCGACTCATGGAGGTGCGCCCACAAAATGTGAGCACGTTCATGCGCAAGCTCCTAGTGGCAAGTATCGGGTCTGCAAATGGGGTCATTGATGGTGAGATGCACGAGTTGGATGCTAAGTCCTTCCACGACTTGATTGTGGAGAATGTGGAGCCTGGTGACGAAATCCTTTCCACAGGTTTGCCGCTCTTCCTCGCTCTGTGGCAGGTACTGCACTACCACATTGAACAGGAGGTGCCCCACAAAATGCTGCAGGATCGTCTAGTAGAGGAGCAGCGGGAATTGTTGAACGATATCGTCATGAGTTACGAGATGGGGACGCTTTCCAACGACAACTCCGAGGCGACGCTCGCTACCTATCAGCCGCTCGAGGAGACATTTCTCGCATATGTTGCAGTACAAGCCACACGCTGGCAAGCGCCATTTCTTCTGCTGATCGACGCGCTGGCATTACCCTCCGATTTGGTGACACCTGAGCGATTAGATTTCCTCACCCGCATTGGTGAGTATATGGAATGGGAAGGCTCGATCGCACACGACCTGGCACGCTACCAGCGCGACGCTACTGAACGTGTGCCCAACGCATTTCTCTTTTGGCTATCTCAGCGTGGAATTCCCCACTCAGAGGGCAAGCAGTACGAAAGTGAATTCCGAGGTCTTGCCAACGTTTGGGCTATGAGTAAGTGGGACCAGCTGCTGCAAGAAGCGCGACGAGATTCATGCGTTGCAGCTACATTTTCGTTACCAGCGGTGGAACGCGTCATTGGCCTCATTTACGAGATCTATGGTGACCACAGCCGCGACTATCGGAAGGAGTCCTTATAGGGAAGTCGTGATCTTGGAATTCGGTTAGGTAATAATTTGATGATAAACGATAAAGTATCTACAACAGAAGCACCAGCAAAAGTGGACATGATTGTGACGCGCAGAACTCGAGCAAAATGAGCCAGCTCCGGATTCATAACGCACTTGTTAGACAAGAAGTTTTTCTTTACTAAGACATTCCTGCCTTTATCATCCCATCGACCTCTTCTTGTAACACCACATAAGCCACAGCGTAGTCTCCATCGTGTGATATTGACACATGCGGCTCCTGTCACAACAAGCACCAGTAAATACACGTTGTTTGTCAAGCAACAACCTTTCTTCTGTCCTATGTCTCACCACTAATCGCAGTCGTTTGGCGAGAGTTTTTGTCTCGCCCGAGAACTGAAGACGCAGTGCCTTGGAGTCACTTGTTACATGTAGAGCTGTAGAGACTGCAGAGTCTTCCAAGCCTCTTCGGACCGCGTAAATCTCCGGGAATCGCACGCGGTAACGTTGGAAAGCCTTAAATGTAGCTTCCTTCACTGCCCACCTGGAGGCCAGAAACATCACACGTTGAGCACTTGGACGAGCGTGGAACTCAGCGATTTCTATAGGGTGGAGCACACGCATGAGAAGCCGTTCACCAAAACGTGCAAAGCTGCGCTCGAAGCGCGACACCAGCGCCACATCTACACCGATGCCATACACCCGGCGAGCCATGCTGAATTTGATATTGATCAAACAACCAATGAAGTACCGTCATTTCGCGACTGATCGGCGTGCGCTCGCTGGTCACTGTCACAGTGAAGCGGTCTACGTACTCGGTCAAGATTTAATACGGCCGCTAGTGCTGAGCGATGCATAGGTAGGTTAGGTAGGTAAACGTGTGGCAGCGGCAAAGGCCGCTGTACTGAGAGAGCTTACTTTGCGATCGGTAAGCCACTGAGGCGGAGGCCCATAACGGCGGGCAAAACGCGTCCGGCAGTAAGATTTTTCTGTCATGCGTTCTTAGTTTTTTGCTACAAGACCTCTTGCCCAAGAGCTTGCGTCACAAGCTGCGGAGAAAATTAACTCGTTGACGGCTGCTTGGCTGTGAAAGGGGGCAACCTTGGGGTGGCGCTACTTTTATGGCTTACTAACTATATTTTTGGCACCGCACGTACATCGTTCTCTACAGCAAACCCTGTGTATAGCATTTGATGTTGGAAAGTGCAAGTTGCACTTGGTATCGACTCCACAGCTTCAACCTACGCTAGGACATATGGAATGTTGTAGAGGCTTCTAGATGATTCTATGGATGTGATCGAAGCAGCCAGTGAAGAGGTTCTGGAGGCTCGCCCGAAGAGCGCCGAGCCTAAATCAGCGCGCGAAGAACGCTTCGCGGCACAGTCTTGGGATGCGCTTCGTGCTTCGGGCAACCCTGTATACAATATCGCCCGTGAGTACACCGATATTTTCCCGGAGAAAATTCCAGCTGAGCTTCCGGCGGATCGTGGTGTGCGGCACGAGATATATCTCGTGACAGGATCGAAATATTTCGTGGCACGGCAATGGCCGTTAACGCACGATCAAGTCATCGCTATTGATGAATTTTTCGAGGGTCGACGCAAGGCTGGCAATGTCCGCAAGAGTATCTCGCCACATTCGAGCCCGACTTTCTGTGTGAAGAAATCCACCGGCGGTTGGCGCATTGTGCACGCCTTCAACAAGCTGAATGACGCCACGATCCTGGCTTAAACGCCTATCCCTCGAAAAGACATGGTATTGAATACCATGTCCGGGAGCGAGATCTACAGCGCCATAGATCTGACAGACGGTTTCTATCAGATCCTCATGAGGGACAGTGACATTCCGTTCACTGCGATCAGCACCCCAAGCGGGATGCTTTGGGAGTGGCTAGTCATGCCACAAGGCCTTAAGAACGCTCCATCTACGCTCAATCGGATGGTGACACAAGTACTTCGCCCACTTCGCGACTTTGCACCGAGCTACTTTGACGACATTTTTGTTCACAGCCGCGCTGAGCAACAGCTCAGCGCTACGGAGGTACACCTTCGACACTTGAAGCAGGTTTTTCAAGTTATGCGAGAGAATAAATTGTATGCGAATTTGAAGAAATGTGTCTTCTTCGCTCCCGAGATTCCAGTACTCGATTTCTACGTCAGCAAGGAAGGTGTCCGCGCTGATCCTGAGAAGATCTCATCGATCTGTTCCTGTCCAACGCCCAGGAACCAAACTGAATTACGTCAATGGCTCGGTTTGTCGAATTACTTGCATAAGCATATCGAAGAACTATGCTGAGCCAATTCAGCCATTATCGAATTTGCTCAAGAAAGACGCAGTATGGTTATGGACGGCAGAACATCAATCTGCCTTCGACTCCGTAAAGAAGAGCTTGTCCGAGGCACCGGTGCTGATGTTACCTGATGACTCTAAGCCATTCCACGTCGTATATGACGCGAGCAATTTCGCTATAGGATGTGCCCTCATGCAATTTGATGACGAGGGTCGAGAGCGCGTCGTGAGTCTTCAATCACGACAGATGGAACCTGCCGAAAATTATCCGGTACACGACAAGGAACTTTTGGCTATGCGTTACGCGCTAATCAAGTTTAGAGTATATTTTCTCGGTGAAAAGATGTTCTCTATCTACACAGATCACGCATCATTGCGTACCGTCCTCACTTGTCCCAGCGTATGGCACGGTGGTTGTCATTTTTTGCCGAGTATAATTTTCTTGAGCATCACAAGCCTGGCAAGAATAACATTCTCGCTGAAGCGCTTTCTCGTACGGTCCTCGGCGTGATATGGGTCATCAAACGGAGTATGTTGATGACGACAAAGATATATGTGTGTGTTGTATTGAACTGGGACTTAATGCGATGATTTCGACCCCCGTGCTTTCGATCCGAACTCAGATCGCTGAATCTTACGCGAATGATTCCTTCTATGCCGGAATCATCAACTATCTCAGGGACCCGAGCGAAAAATTACTCGCGAAGTTGACGAAACCAACACGCGACAACATCAAGCGTTACGCGCTTGACGGCCCGTTTCAGCAATATGGTGCATTTTGCTCCGGTCTCCGCCAACATTACGGCGGAGACGACAGCGAAGACCTTCATTGATCTTATCTTCAGGCATCACGGGTTGCCAGAATCTAATGTTTAGTACCGTGACCCGCGTTTCACTTCGGCTTTCTGGGCCGAATTATTCCAGCTATTAGGCATGCGGTTGCTTATGTCTACGGCGGCCCATCCAGATACGGATGGGCAAATGGAGAGTGTGCACAGAGTGCTCGAAGATGTCTTGCGCAGTTATGCAACATAATTCTCGTCATGGAGTTCGTTTCTTCCACTTGTAGAGTTTGCTATCAACAATGCTGTCCATGCGTCAACCGGGTTGACGCTCTTTTTCGTTAGCAACGCGAGGCATCCTCGCGTTCCGGCGCTGCTTGCTCTCTCAGCTTCAGAGCACCCTGTATCCAAGCTTGGTGGGGAAGTATCTACGGATGGAATTGCGCCGAAACAATTGATGATTGAATGCGATGAGGATAAGGCTGCTGTCGATGCAACTCCTGCTAGAAATAATGTGGCCAACGGCATATCTACTCCTGACGCGATGCTTGCCATCGCGTCTCCCGTTGCTAATTTTGCTCCTAAAGCGAATACGTCGCCTGTAAGCTCGGCTGCAGTAACCGAATTTCTGCTATTACGACAAGGAATCACGCGTTTAGTGCGTGATGCATTACAAGAGGCAGTCGGCAAGAAAAAAGAGAACGCAGACAAACGAGGTAGAAATAATATGTTGACATTTCAAGAAGGTGACAGAGTATTGTTATCAACAAGTGGATTACCAAACACCTCAGTGACGAATTTGGGCGCTAATAAGTTAGCGCCAAGATATATTGGCCCATTTCGGATTGTTAAGGTGCATGGTGACGCTTACACGCTAGACATACCTACATCTATGCGTTTGCACCCGACATTCTACGTCGGGCACCTCAAGGCTTACCTGCCGGCGGATCTCCCTTCGAATCTTCCCCGCTCTTCTGTGCCGGCTCGAAATCCGACATCCCTTGACGACGACTGGGACCAAGTCCTGCCCGAACGCGTGCAGACTCGGTCTGCTGGGGCCCTCCGAACGCAGTCGTCTCAAGTTGACGTAGGCGCTCAACCAGTACCAGCTGCTCACGTCGGGTCCGCTCAGCAGCCTCAGTCGCAGCATCCGCACGATCTTGAGCTCTCTCAGCCATCTCGCGAGCATCAAGTAGGGCATTCTTCGATTCCTCGACTTCAGCGTGAAGTAGACGCAGCTCATCATTCGACTGCACAGGAGCCCGATTACGAGAATCGGCGCCCATCGCCAGAGGTCTTCCGTCATGATGCTCCTCCTCCATTAGTCGATGCATCGGGTGCGCGACGCTGGATTGTCGACCGAATTGTCGATCACGAGGATCATAAGTTTTATGCGCCGAGTAACAACTCGGCGCCCATGAAGAAGCGTGTCGAAAAGCATTACAGGTTTCGCTGTTTGGGATATTCCCCGGCGGACGATACATGGGAGCCATCGAGTACGCTGTCCCAAGATGTCCCGGACGTGGTCGAGGACTATGAGTCCCGTAGAAAGACGGTGATTGCGAGTGATGCTGCCGATTCCATCCCCAATCTCGCGAGCCGTGATGCTCGCGAGAAACAGAACTTTGAGTCGAGTCCCCGAGCGATTCTGAGATTTAATTATGAGGCTGGGAAAAGTTGGATGGCATTTGCGACTATGTGAGATGTCATAGCGAATCAAATTTGGCGCACGTGGGATGGAACAAGCGACATCACGATCAAGAACTCAGTGGTAAACCACTGCACCAACGTAATGATAGCGAATGAAGAGTTTCGTTATGAGTTCTCGCAATCTAAATGATTAGCTCTGATATAACGGTATAGCGTCCACGGGATCAAGTGTGCGTCCGTGACTCGTAGTGTCTGCTCCCTGCAGATCGTACGGTTGTTGTCGTCAGATATACCCTTGCGCGCGCGGCCAGGGTCATGCTGCTCAATTGTGTGTCACTGAGCAGGTTCGAGGTTGTGTCGCTGCATTAGTGGTGAAAAGAATTATTTTTATGTTATGTGCTTACGTTGTAGTAAGCACAACTTTAAGAGAGAGGTGATGAAATGGGGCAACCTACATGAGTAGTTATAGAAATAATGCATAATTACAAAAACAGGCATAGGGCAGTATCCGATAAGCGGATATTGTGCGTCATTTTATTATTGGTTTATTATTGGGGTGCCAGATGCAAGAAGGAGGCGGTTTATTTTGCATGCACAGAAATTGGTCAACTTATACAATCGAGAGATCAACAGCACAGGAGAAGTGCTAAGTATCGTTAACCTGCAGAGGACCCCAGATGCCCCATCTAAGACATGACTTAAAAAATGAAGTTTACTTTGGAGATGAAATGGGATTATCGGTTTACGATGGATACGTGGAAAGCTATTTACTACTACTGGTCATCAGACAAAGGAACACCTGATGCTACACCAAGGAGACAGGACAAGGATGCACGGTGTCTTGCCGCAGTTCGGAAGACCAGCGCGCAGGGAACAGCTGTGGAGAAGTTCCAGGAGAATCGGGACCCCTGAGGACATCGTAATAAAGGGCACAGAAATCCAGGGTACTCCCTCGATGAAATGACTATGATTACGTCTCGCAAGATCCCAAGG